CTTTGATAATGTCTGATGATTATATCTTCACCAGTAATTTTTTTCTTCATTTGCTATTGCCTTTTTTTTCTTCAGAGAGTTTATGTCTCACTAACAGAATGTGAATTCCATGAGAATAGAGATTCTTACCTATGCAATATTCTCAACAATGGGGTAACATCCAACATATAAAACATGCAATGTAAATAGTTTGACTAAATGAGTCAATAAAATGATGCTTTATTATTATTTTACATAAAACTCATTTGCTGGATTTCACAGTTCCATAATTCAGTATAGATATAAAGTTAAATTTTAATGATTTATAGCACGTCTTATATGCTTATTATTATTACCTAATAAATAAAGATCATGAAAATTTTTTATTCACCAGCATAGATTTTTTTCTCTTGTTAGAGTGATGTGTCATAGTTGGTTTGCCTTCTGGAGTTTTGCCATTTATTCTTCTATTTGGTTGATACAGTCAATTTTGTACAAATTTTATACCTTCATGATATGCATTATGCTGAGCAGAATGGAGAATAAATGTGGGGCTACTCCGTGTTCTCAGAAGCTTAAAGATCTGCTTGGAAAAACAAGAACCATGTTATGAAATTCAAAGTGATTAAAAGAGTGAAGCTCTATAGAAAACCTGCTGAGTGGTTTGGGATGGAGCTTCTGAGAAAACCCATGGAAGAGAGTGGACACTGAATGAACTGTGTGTGGTAAGAACCCATGGACACGGGGTCTGAGGTCACATAGTTCAAGCTGGAGGTTAGTGAAAACCACACACTGCTCCAGCTATAGACACATGTCTGAATACAGGCTTATAAACATTTGTTTATGTAGTCGTATTGCCTGATTTCTACAACTGGAATGGAAGCACCAAGAAGTCAGCATATTCATTGTTATATCCCTACTGACTAGAAAAATGTTTAGCATTCCATAAATATTTGTTGAATAAGTAATTGTTCTGAATGATGTGATCAAAACCTATAGTACTAGATCAGAACAGCGAAACAAGTGAAACACAGGACAGTTTTGGCTGGGCGGGGGCAGAAGATCATCAAGATGAGAACTGATAAAACTGGATGAAAGGACTGCCAGGCAGACTATCTGGAACTCCACAGATTTTAGTGGACTCTTGAGTTAATGGGACATACCAGGCAATATTTTCCAGAGATCATGCAGTGAATCCAGCTTGTTCCATGAATCAAACAAAGTCTTTGATAGGAACAGACTGTATATATTGGCTACAATCACAGTCAGCATTAAATTTTACATGAAGAGAAAGTTAGCAGTCCTGCTATGAAGAGTATACTTGATTAATACTTGTTTATCTTTTTAAATGGGCTGTGAATTTCTAAGAGGAAGAGATTGCTTCTTTCTCTCTCCTGGTACAAAGTCTTGTCTCTTGTCAAATATTTGAGAGAAGGACGGAAATACAGAAAGAAATTGGACCTTGCTCTCCTCTTAGTTATACTTGAGCACATGGAGAACTGCATAATAGGAATTTCCCCTTCTGAATCTGATGTATAGAGATCTTTTGTATGCATTAAATGGTCAATAATTAAGACTTTAAACCTAGTTACTATCCATTCCTCTCCAGCCCAGAACTGATCACCCAAGCAGCAAACTGATAGGCATATAAGTTTATACCTCTCACAGAATACCACCATTAGAGATTTGAACTTCAAATCATTGACACTTATGACTTAAAAATGAATCATCAAATTGTTTACACAGGTCTTACCTAGCTCTCTGTAGGGCAAAACCCTCCTACAGTTTTTTCGAAATAGGAATTCAACATTTTCTTAATGAAACAAATTTCTACCTGGGAAAAGGTACCTTCATGTGCCCCCTTGCCTGCAGAACACTGCACAGTAATTTAATGTAAATCCATAAAAATAGAATATTGAAAACCATTCTTCCCAATAGCTTGTCCACTATTCTATCAGATAAGTCATCATTATTTATTTATTTAAAAAGTATACTTGTCCTTCAACCTGGGGTTAAACATGGATCTTGCTAGCATTTAAGAAATAATTTCAGTCTCTCTCTCTGGGGATTACCTTCCTCAGCAGTCCTTGGGGTTACCACAGTACCCTGAGTAAATAGCCAGTGCTTTTCCCTTTACCTTGTTGGATATTTCCTTAGTTTGCAGTACATTGTGATTACTGAAGAAGAAAGTCCCTTTTCAATTCGAAGCACGTGAAATGTGATCAATACTCTTAAGACTGAGCGTTTGACTAAGGTCTACAAAAGAAAAGGAAAATCACATAGCACTAGCCTGGGTGGGCAATCTTATTTGTCTCTGCCACAAACGTGTGAAAAAAAGGACAGCTATTTTTTTCTTTGGGGGTTGGGGGTGGGTAGAAACTGGTTTTACAGATCAGGAGATGTGGTTTCCCTCTGAGACCACACGGAAAAGTATGTATTTTCCATTTTTTTTTATTTCCTCTTAAGCCAATTATTTTTATTTAATAATACAATGACTTGAGTCTACCTGATGTGACTGCACAAAAGAACCAGCTACAAGAGACAGCAGCATGGTCTCCATTGGGTGCCCGAAACCTGTATCTTGGTCCCAGATTGCTGAAGCCTTAGGTCCTTGTGGGTCTGACACCCCTTTTTTGATACCCCCTTACCTTTACTCCAGTTTTCAGCAAACAATTACCCTCATCCTAGGTTTGCTCTCCCAGAATCTCTTTGGGGCTGGTATAAATAAGGGCATTTTCTTGTGAGTGAATTCTTAAATTAGCATTTCTAAAATTCACTTTTACATCTTATTCTCTCTCACTAACTGCTTAATGTTTCTAAGCTTGCAGGAAATAAAAAAGAAATATCATAGTGGGGGACTTTTTAATACAGAACACTTAAATCATGGATTTCAAGTTGAGAACCATCACAGCCTATAAATCATTCCCCACTTCGTCAGAAAGGAGTGGATGTTTACTGGCTTTCTAATTGCTCTTTTTAGACATGTGTTTCCTTGGGGGATTTTTCTGAGGTCCCAGGCTTTGGGACTGGGAAATCTTGAATAGGAAGGAGAAATCCCACTCTACCAGCTTGTCTGGTGAGGCACAGCATTTTGGGGAGACTTAAGAGGGAGCCAAGGATTAGCTACTTTCCCGCGTGTGTGTTCGGCGCGCCATCTAGTGGCTGAAGATCACTGAAGGGACAAAAACCTGACCTCCACATACCCCAGGAACTTTAGAGGGGTACTCTGGCTTCTCCCCTGGGTCAACTCTCCCAAGTGGCTGTATTTCAGTTTCATCAGAGCACGGGTGATGAATATCGTTCATATCATTGGGGGGCTTGTGGAAGTCATGGAGTATTCAGAAACAAAGGATAAAAACTTTAAGGATCTATTAAGAAAGGCAAAAATTACTGTTCATAATTACTCCAGAAAGGAGGACTTTAGGTTGAACAAACAAATGAAACTGTTAATATGGAAAACACAAAAAAGGAATTGAAGGAAGAGAAAAAAAGAGTTGTAGGAAGAAATGAAGGGGGAAGATGGGATCACAGTTCTAAACCAGAGCTCTTATTTTCAGAAGAATATTTACCATTATGTGACAGCAGGTGACTTAGTTATACTCACTAAGCATCAATTTGTTCATCTGTTAAATTGAGATTATCTCACCTATTTCCTAGGGAAGCTTGTGAGGATTAGGTGAAAAGAAATATGAAAATGCCAATCCTGGAATCTCAAATGAAAATGATCAATAAATGGTAGTTGTTATTATTGTTACTAGAGAGAAAACAAAAGGAAACAAAAAGAAGGGAGAAGAGCTTGTGTGGAAGGTATTATACTATAGAAAGAAAATAAATCTAGACCTTGACTTGGCACAAGACATTTGATTGGCTTAATCAGTAAATCCCATGAAATGAGACATTTCTGACTGGTGGATAGAGGGTGTCTGTCTGAAGCTCATTTTTGTTACTGTATTCACAAATGTGTGAGAAGGTCTTTCTCCTTGGCACACCCTTGGGCTTCCAGCCACAGGCTGAGAGCCCTACACTCAACATCCTAAGGTTTTCAACCCAGTGCTCAGAGCTTATGTGAAGGAAGGGCAAATGACTAGTCACTGACATGGCTGCTTAAGGGATAGTACCAGGCACCAGGTTGTAGTCAATGAGAGTAGCCATTAGTTTGCAAGAAACTCCTGAGTTCCTGGTTCATGCTGCTAGGATCAGCTTGTGATACTTAATACCAACTGAATGCTTGTGGAGAGGATGGAAGAAACATCATGTCACCTGGAGAGAGTGGAAGAATATCTGTATCCCCTGATGCATCTCCCCTCAAAGCTGAAAATGCCAGTCCTGGTTAATCCAGGAGTAGACACACGGAACTGGTATACCTGTATGCCTATTTCTAAAGATTGCCTGAAACTCTCCAGACACCTGAAACCTCTAGAGAAAAAAAAATATATATATTATAACACTGTCTCTCTTACATATGCACACACTCATGAAAAGTTTCAGTTGCCATCTCTAGTCTGGTTATCAGAATGCCCTTTCCCCCATGTAATGACGGATCATACTCTCCAAAGAACAGCAGCCATTGCCTGCATTTCTAACCTTTTACCAGCTTCCTTCCATGCCAAGGAGAAACTAGGAACAAGAGCACAGTAATATGATCCCCAATTAGCATAAAATAAAAACAACCAGTCATGTTTTCCATGGACTTTTCCAACCTCAAATGAAATATGAAATAGGGAGAAAGAGATAAAAACACACACATAGAACCATACTTATTTACTGTCAGTGTATCTGAGGCACCCTGAACCAAATGAGTCCATCTCTAGGAAAACCAAGCAGCCAGAGGCAGAAATCTGAAAGTTTTCCCTTTCCAAAAGGCAGCATGAGTACAGCCAGGAAGGGAGAGTGTCCTGGTGGCTTGGTATGGAAGGGGTTAAGTCCTCAGCCATCACATTCTGAAGTGATTTATGATAATGTGTAGTGTTTCCAAACTCTCCCTCACCCCAGGGAACAGTCCTCTCCCTCCCCAACTGAGTCCTCTCTCAACGTGCTGCAATGGGAAGGAGGCGGTGTTTTGCTGATCTGTTAAATTCTTAGTCAAGTTTCCTTGATTTCCAGTGGCTGCTGTCGTTTGAGTTTGGTTTGGATCAAATCTGAGATTATCCTGGCATTTCTGGGACAGAATCCAGGCGAGAGGAAGAAGAAAAAGAAGGAGAAGGAGAAGAGAAAAAATGGTGGGGAGAAATAAAGGGAGGAGAGAAACTTAGGAAAAGAAAAAAAAAAAAAAAACCCTTTCAGCATCACATTCCTGTGTTTTCCTCCAGCCTGGAAAACATATTAATCCCAGCGCTTCTACACTTCGAGACAAAGGGACTGAGTCAGACTGTGGGGGAAAGGGTGATAAGAAAGATCCTGGAACTCTAAAGAGAGAAAGCAAAGCGTGAGATTCAGAAGAAGCTGGGACTCCACAGAAAGGGACATCCCCAGTCGGCACAGGGAACTGACACTCAGACACCCAGGATCGAGCAGACAGCAGACAAATGGAGTTTCGAAGACTTAAAAGGACAGCACTTTTCACCTCATTCAACTTGTCAAGAAGGTAAAGAGACATCCGCAGAGGGAAAGAAGAAAGCAGCTGAGCCCTCCGGTCAGAACAGGGTGTGGGTCTGGGGTGCTCTAGGAGCAGGAGCTGCAGTACAGCCCCCCTGTTTCACTCAACCTCCAGGAGAGAGAAGTTTGGAAGAAAAGCATTGCATCGAGGAAACTGTCCCCGGACCTCACTCCAGATTGCTGTTTAAACCTCTGCATTCCATCTCCATGAGCCACAATGTAAGTGTGTGATCCTTTCTGTCTTTGCTGGCTTTGTCTGTTTCTTTGTTGCTGGTTTGAAGAAATGAAACGTGCATGTTGTCATAATTAATATGCTCAGTGTGCATTTGTTCTGGGGCATCAGGGAGCCTGTTGAAAGAGTGAAAGCATGCTTACTGTAACTGCCTCTGCTAAGCACAGGCAAATTACAGGGGCTTAAAAGCAACAGGACCTCATCCTATTTTCCATTCCCTGATCTCTCTCCTTTAACCACCTCCTCCCCCCTCCCCTTAGCCAAGATAGAGGAAGAGAAAATGCCCAGGTCTGTTTGCAATTAAAAGATTTTCTTTCTCCCCACCCCCTTCTGTCTTTTGGTCCTGATGTTTCTCAAAGTGGATTGCACAATGACATGGAGAATGGGACCTAGTTTTATCATGCTGCTGGCAATGTGGCTGGTGTGTGGATCGGAACCCCACCCCCAGGCCACGAATCGAGAGAGCCACCAAGGGGGGAAAGCACCTCTCTTATCCCCAGTCAACAGTAGGCCAGCTCGGTTTCTGAGGCACGCGGGGACTTCTCAGGGAATGGAGAGAACCACTCTGGAAGAACCACATCTTCAGCCTCTCAGAAGGAGCGTGCCTGTGCTGAAAGTAGCTCGGGCAGCAGCTCTGCTGTCCTCGCGGGGCAACCACAGGGCCCTGCTGAGACCTGAGCAGAGACCGGTGACAGCCCGGAGTCCACCCCGTGAGATGGTGCGAGACGAGGGCGTCTCAGTTAGGTCAAGAATGTTGCGCTTCCCCTCTGGGTCCAGCTCTCCCAACATCCTCGCCAGCTTTGCAGGGAAGAACCGAGTGTGGGTCATCTCCGCCCCGCATCCCTCAGAAGGCTACTACCGCCTCATGATGAGCCTCCTGAAGGACGACGTGTACTGCGAGCTGGCAGAGAGGCACATCCAGCAGATCGTGCTCTTCCACCAGGCGGGCGAGGAAGGAGGCAAGGTGCGGAGGATCACCAGTGAGGGCCAGGTCCTGGAGCAGCCCCTCGACCCCAGCCTCATCCCTAAGCTGATGAGCTTCTTGAAGCTGGAGAAGGGGAAGTTTGGCATGGTGCTGCTGAAGAAGACGCTGCAGGTAGAGGAGCGCTATCCTTACCCAGTCAGGCTGGAGGCCATGTACGAGGTCATCGACCAGGGCCCCATCCGCAAAATAGAGAAGATCCGGCAGAAGGGTTTTGTCCAAAAATGTAAGTCCTCTGGGTTAGAGGGCCAGGTGGTAGAGGAGTTGGACAACGGTGGAGGGACAGGAAGACCAGGCTTGAGCAGTGACAAGAGGAAAGAGGACCCGAGGAAAGCACAAGTCCCACCAACCAGAGACAGTCGGGTGAAGGTGATTAGAAAACCTGCCACCACTACGGAGGCCCCTTCCCCACCTCCTCCAACCCCAAGGGCCACGACCCTGCCTCCTGCGCCGGTCACTGCAGCGACTCGGGCCACCTCTCGAGTGGTAACTGTGGCTTCGAGACCTGCAACCACCACGGCCTTTCCGACCACCCAGCGCCTCTGGACGCCCCGGGTGAGCCCTTTCTTAGACACCCACAAGCTTCCAGCAACGGCCGAGGTGACCACTGTCAGGACACCCGTGGCCTTAGAGAATCTCTATCCTCCCCGAAAGGAGCAACACAGGGAGAGGCCGCAGGCCACCAGGAGGCCCAGCAAGGCCACTAGCTTCGAAAGCTTCACGGCTGCCCCGCCCACCACCATCTCAGAGCACGGAGGCAGGACTGGCACTGGCCGATTCCGGGACAGGGACAACCGCACAGACCGGCGGGAGCATGGCACCGGGGACCCAAATGTGGTGCCAGGGCCTCACAAATCAGCCAAGGGGAAGCCTCCCAAAAAGAAGGCACAAGACAAAATTCTTAGCAATGAGTACGAGGACAAGTATGAGCTCAGCCAGCCCACGGCCTCTCAGGGGGAGGACGAGCTGCAGGTGGGGCACATTCCCTCCCAAAAGGCAAAGGAGTCTAAAAAGCATGAAAGGCTTGAGAAACCTGAGAAGGAGAAGAAAAAAAAGGTAAAGAATGAGAAGGCAGAGAAGTTACTCAAGAGTGAAAAGCCAGTGAAGAAGGACAAGGCTGAGAAAAAGAGCAAGCAGGAGAAAGAGAAGAGCAAGAAGAAAAAGGCAGGTAAAGCAGACCAGGATGGCTACCTGAAACCCACCACAAAACACTTCAACCAGAGTCCCAAGAAGTCAGTGACTGACCTGCTGGGGTCCTTTGAAGGCAAACGAAGGCTCCTTGTAAGTATCTCCTTGACATTGTTCTGTGGCAGGAGGGCAGTGTGGGTTAAGGTGGGCTTGTTGTTTTTCTGAGATAACATTGCTAAGTGGCAGGCCATGGCTGCACCTGTACCCTCTCAGGAAGGCCAGGAGGTTTGTCAAGAAAGCTTAGCCAGACCAGCAGCTCCTTTGGGCATAGATAAGTTCTGACTCTCTATCCACAAAAACTGAGGTCCCTTAGGGAGAAAGTCAGTATTTGGCAAACCTCTTGGAGACATCAGCTGGAGAGAGCTCCTGTGGTCAGTTTCTTTCAAACCCACCAGCACATCCTCCATCTTTACTGCTCTCTGCCTAGTGATAGTTCTGGATATGGTTTCCTTTGATCAAGGGCAAAGGTTAAAAGAATGAAGGAGTTCCTAAATGGGTGTGCATCAACTCTAATCATAACACAGGAAAAGGGATTCTCTCTCTGCATGAGCTTATGAACTAAAAGCATGTGTCTGGGGAAATGGCAAGTTACTCCTTTCCTCCCTAATTAGTTTGATATCAACAATTGGAAGACTCTGAGGGTGAAAAGTAAGACAACTTGTGTGAGTAGGGAAGGGAGTTTGTCTGTGTGATGCTCACAAATAACTTGAAAAATACCGGCTGAAATTTTCTCCCCTAAAAGGCAGTCCCCTCTATCACTACCCAAAGGCAAGTAAAAGTCTTTCAAAAGGATGGAGTGTGGGGACCTGGTTTAATTATTGTGATTTCTAATACCCTGGGACTTATCTGAATGTGGAGTCAAGACTTCCATGTCTCCTGAATCTTTACATAATGCACACGTGTATGGTATATGTGGTATGTATGTGTGGGTGTGGTATATGTGGGTGTGTGTGGTGTGTGGGTGTGATGTATGTGGGTGGGTGTGGTATATGTGAGTGGGTGTGGTATGTGTGCTGTGTGGAGTATGTGGGGGGTTGTGGGTGTGAATGGTATGTGTGGGTATGTGTGGTATGTCTGATGTGGAGGGGGTGTGGGGATGGGTGTGGTGTATGTGTGGCATGTATGTAGGCAGAGGACACAAGCAGTTCTTACTCTCTACTTTTCCTGTGTTTTTGAATGTTATGAGTAGCAAGTCACAGGTCCTTCTCAGTAGCTCTCTTTTGCCATGAAATGCTACATCCAAAGAACAATAACAGAATCTAATCATACCCTAAAAAGGTTTTGGATAGGATATGTGCCATCCTAAATGGATGCTGAAGGAAGTGCATACCCTATAACCTTCTCACCAAACAATGGGTCACTCATCTCCCAGAGTCCTGGTTGTTCTAATTTGGCCAAGATTTTGATTAATGATCTGGCCAGAGCAACTCTGGCACCCTTTTGTCATTAGTGGCATCAAAACATTGGCATGTACATTTGAAATGTTATTCAGACCAGAGACGCTGGTGTCCTGAAATTCTCCTATCTGTTCCATTGATACTGGAACTGTTCCATTGACTATATATTAAAACAAAACCTAAGTTTTGGTTGACTGTAGGGATGTGTGTGTGTCTGTCTGTCAGTCTGTGTGTGTTGAGTCTTATTGTTTGTCGTCCTCATTTTTAACCACAATCTTAAAGTAACCATATGAACTTGGGTTCGCAGAGAATAGGCTGTCAGAATAGTTTAGCAGCTGTTTGGTTGTTCCAAGCACATAAATGTAAAGGACAATGTTTCAGGCGGTACTAAAGCAATCATTGATTTCACAGTAGAACTTCACCTGGTGCTTGCGTGTTAACACATCAGTGGAGTGCTCTGTTGCTTTCTTCCTGAGTACATGGGACATTGCCCAGTCTGCTAAAGCATATCACCCCTTCAGGCAACCCCTCCTCAACATCAGATGTTAAGCAGGGGTGATATATCCATAGGTGGAATGTCAAGATTCTAATTATGCACCCATCTGGCAAATACTCCATAGGCTCTAGTTTGTGAGTTAAAATAAAAAGGTTTCAAATGGCATGTCTGATACTAGCCATGCCTTTCACTTCACCCTTTCCCTCTCCACTCCCTTAGTCAGGATTTGAGAGCCCAGCTGGGTCTTTTCTGCTTTTAACTGTATCCCTGATCGTAAATTTCTAACAAATGAAACTCAGATGACAGCTTCTGCTGATGTCATGCACAGCAAAACAGAACCCAGCTGCAGCTGCTCTGTGTAGCGCTGCTCTTTAGGGCTGGTGAGAGCAGCAGGTCTTTTATTAGAAAGTACCAACAGGAGCCATTTCAGTCTTGTAGTCCCACATGGACCCAGTTGGCCAAGCCAGAAATGTGTTTTTTGAAGAACTAAAGTGGTAGAGAAGACAATATGTAATGATATGATAGGGAAGATGTAGAAAGTAGAATCTTTTTCCCCAGACACAAAGGATACCAGTGTTTCTGGAAAAGAACTTGTTGGTGCCATTTATCTTTTTTTTTTCACCCATTTTTCTTGTCAAACATGGCTGATTTTCTCAGGAAGTGCCGTGATTCAGTTAATATTCATTAATGCTTAGCACTTTGCAAAATGACAAGTACTGTTGGCAACATGTAACTCCAACTCACCTCCACCTAACCCAGTGTCTTCAAACTGAAATGAAATTTGCATTCCAAAAAATTGTGCTGTGTTTTTAGCCCAGCGTTCCAGTAACCTTGTGTCGATCTACAATTTATCATAATTCTGTTGTGCTTTCCATTTACTTACATCATTGTTTATATGTGGAAACATGATGGCTAGTTCACCAATTATTTAGAGAAGTGCTAGCAACTGTACTTGGGTAAACAGTCCAGAGACCTTCAAAGAAGCTGCAGGTGGAGCCAGGGACCTTATTCTTGGGTCAGAGTTCAGTCCTTCAAGTTCCCCTGCTTCTCAGCCCACCAACCACAAAGGTCATACCTTACAAGGTGTTTTGCCCAAATCCTGTGATTTAATTTGCATAATAATCCCAGGTGGAAGGATTTACTTACTCCTTTTACAGATGAGGAAAAGGAGGCTAAGAGAAACTTTGCAGTTTCCCAAGGTATATAGATAATAAAGGGGCAAAGTCAGAATAAGTACCCAAGACTTTGATTTCCAAGTTCCTATGCAAGCCACCCACTTATCCTGTCTTTCTGGGGGTGGGTGGTGGGTGGGAGAGAGTCAGCTTCATCTGGACATATGCAATAAAGTACGAAAACAAGAAATTATCCTGTTAAGCAATACAAATATTTTAAAATTCGTTTTCAACTTTGACTTACTCAAATATGTTGGCTACATCTCCAGGCAATATTTTGTGCTCAGTAAAGATGCAGATATGGCATTTCTGCCTTTTAATACCTACCTAGTTCTCTGAACCTCCCCCAAGTTGATTTTCCTGGCAGCCAGGGGAGAATGACAGGTTAAATCCCAGTGGACCTAATCCCTCAGACTGATTAGGGTCAATTTGGGGTTGACAATGGTGAGAAAACAGACAAACTGTTTATTCCTAAAACATTGCACTAAATGGAGTCTGACTGATAAATTATCATTTTGTGTATAATGCTGTACCTGCTTGTCTATTAACAAGAGTCCTCATGAGGCTGAAATTACATAGATTAAGTTCAGGTTTAAGCGTCCTTTGGAGATCAAATTTTTTGCCACTCAAGTGAGGTATACTTTCAACATTTTTTAGAAATCTGGATATTGGGACAACAATATATTTATTTGGCTTAATTTGGAGAAGGAGATCAAGTTCTGCTTTACTAAGGCAGACTACTTGCATGAGTGTTATTTTTCAGAATTAAAAAAAAAAAACCCTAGTATTTGAACCTAACACAGTATTTAAATAATCTGAGACTCAAAATATCTCCTCCTCACCCCAACATCTTCCTATTCTTGGTTGGTCCCTTCACTACTTACCCAAACTGACTTCTTGAGCGAGCATACTGGTTAAAACAGAAACATTAAAAAGAACCACAGCCCAATTCAAACTCATGATTCATGCCCTGATTTATCACCTCCAAACTTGAGAGAGGCCAGTGCCAGACAATAATATTTGCTGAGAAGTTCTAGGGTCTCTTTTAGGAAGAAGAGATTGAAAATAGTTAACCATTTTAAACACCGTTTGATATATTGCCAAACTAGAAAATAAATGCGATGTTGATACAGAGGGAAAAAGTCCCAGAAATGTGTACAAGTCATCAACCTTTTTTACTTTCCCTGATGCAAACTCCAGGGGCAGATTCAGGGTGAGGGGTTGTGTTTTTGCTGAATGGCTTGTGGGCTCCACCTAGATATTTATGCGGAAGGGACCAATGTGCTCCTGTACATACACATTCAGACACATTTTGATTTTGGGGTTTTGTTTGTTTGATTTTCACTACTTTATGAAGTTTGCAAAGAATTTTTTTCTATACAAGTATGAGAAAGTTGAGTTGCATAAGGGTAAATGGACTTTCTAAGGCTGCAAAGAAGCTGGGGTTGAACTAGGACTGAAATGTATGCCTTGCAGCTTTGCCTACAGTCACCCTTACTCTGTGCCACTCTGTCAAGATTCCTTTCTTTTCTTTTTTTTTTTTAAAGATTTATTTATTTATTCATACAGAACTGGGGTACAGGTCAGTGAGAGGAGGGTGAGAGGATTCACCAGGGATAGAGTCAGGAGCAGAACGGACAGATCGACGAAGTATACTGCTGAGGGGAGCAGCGGGCGGGTCATGAGAGGTCTGCCACGCCATGTGGATCTCCTCCGGGGCAGGCGGGGATTGAACTCATGCGAAAGTGGCTTAAGCTTCTTAGTGCTGTGCTTTAACCTGCTGCGCCACCAGGGAGGGCCAAGATTCCTTTCTTTTCATAATTTAGATTAATCTGGCTATGTTATGAAGTGGTTATCTGAAGGAGGAAGAGGAGGAGAGGTTAGCAAGAGTCTGAAGCCAGCTATGGAGAGCCCAAACTCGGAAATGAGTCATGCAAAATGGATATCTCCTCCTGGGGGGGTTAGGAATCTTTAGGCAAAGGTCCCCAGGTGAAAATAAACATTGGAGCTCTTTCTTTATACCAGGGTGATTTCCATTGATTGGCTGTCCACAACCAATTGCTACTGTGTTCAGAAATTCTTGGGAGAAGTTGTCAGGGAGAAAAGGGTGAGGTTCTATATGATTATATATTGTCTGAAAATCTCAATTTTGCACAAAAGGGAGAAGAGCTGAGAGAGCTTTGAGGATTCTTGAAATCCAGATCTTATAAGGGTATGTGTGTGGAATTTAAGGGACTAGAGTAAAGCATGAGCTTGATAAAATGCAGTCCATATATGAAGCTAAGTTAGTGAGGCAGTTAATTGTTAGTCATCTAGCCTCTGCGCAGCTGAGCTAGAGACGCCTCTAAATGTATGCTGAGATGGTTTTTTTTTCTTAATTCAGAAATCATAAATAGTAAACCTTCTCTTAGTTTTCACCAGTTTGTGTTGTTCCATAAGCATTAACTTTATTTATATCAACTCAGTATGTTTATGAGCAACTCAGTATGTTTTATAAAAATATAAAACATCAACTGACAATAAAAATTCCAAGGTTTGGGTCACCATCAAAGCCTGAAGAAATATCTTAAATGTAATCTAGTTAATTAAAAACAAACCAAAAATATAATCACCATATCTTTTTATAGCCACTGTAAATCTTTTTCAAGGCTAAATATGAACTAATGAATAAATCTGGGGAAATTATATTATTTTTCCTCTTGGGAGAATGTATTTCTAAACCAAGTATGTCCTACCCACCCCATTCTTCTGAACAGTCATATAAATATATAACCAAAAATAACTAAACCATGTCGACTCAATGGTCCGAGAAAAAGACCACTTCATCCCAGCAAACCTTTGCTAACGTTCCACTCAAATTCATTCTTCTGAACATTCTTCTGAACAGTCATATTAATATATAACCAAAAATATAATAACTAAATCATGTGGACTCAATGGCCTGAGGAAAAAAAACCCACTTTATCCCAGCAAACCTCTGCTAACGTTCCATTCAAAGTCTATTAAACACATTTTATTTCCCATAAGCGAGAGTATTTTGTCAAACATAGAGAATTCCTAGAAGGGAAAGCTGTAGGCAGCAGTAAACACATCTCTGACAGAGAAAAATAAATCATGGGATCAAGCTGGGACCAGATTTATTAACCATTTTAACAAAGTATTTGGCAGAAATTGGCAAGAGTGACTTCCCATCTGAAACATACTGAGCTAATAGCCTCAAACTCCAGCTATCTCTTATAAGTTTAGATGGGGTAAACAGAAAAGCAGCTGATAAATGTGAATGATTTCTAATGCAAGAAAGGGCAAAAGTAATATAAAGAGGCTGGTCTCTGAGCTCAGTGATGATCCACTGAAGGGTAAGTAGGACATGTTCTTTGCAGATATAAGCCTAGTGAGTTATTAAGAGTCAAAGAGATCACCCAAGAACTTCACATCATCAGAATAAAAATTCACATCCTCCCACCTCCAGAATAAATAGTGCCACACCCATCCACTCATGGAGTGAAACATACAGTTCTGGATTGTGCTCAGGGAAAAGCTAGTGACACTGGAGAGGGCTCAGAAAAGGACAACTAAAATAATCAAGGAACTACTAAAGGTTTACGTTAGGCTTGGTGAAAACACGGAGATATTCTTAGGAGAGTTGCAAGAGGACCCATCAGAAAGAGTGGTATCCTTATTTTATTCAAAATAATCATATGAATGTGCCTTCCCCAGGTGACTGTTGACTTGGGCATCTCTTTCTATTGCTATGTGATTCCTCTTCTTCCCAAGAAGAAGTTAGAGGTCACAGGGTGAAGGGGAAAGACACAGGCGATGTGAAAAATAGCAGGTCAGAGTTGAAGAGAAGGCTAAAATAAAAATGAAAAATTTGCCCTCTTGGAATCCAACACAAACTCTGTGCAGTGACAAGGAACATATGCAATGTGACAAGACACGTAGAAAGGCCATCATGAACGCTGTGTAGAAGGTGGGCAATACAAATTCTAAAGCTTAGTGCCCAGGGCCTGGGTACAAAATTCCCTCAACCCTGTGAGGCATGATCAGAATAATAACAGTAAACTCTCAATTCACAAAAGTCTGAGCTAACTATGGTAATGAACATCAAAACCAGGGAAGGGAAACAGCATTTATTGAATAATTATTACATGCTAACTATTCATGTAATGTTTACAACACTCTTGCAAAATAAGTGTTCCTATGCAGAGTCCTCAAATGAAATACATGAAGACTAGTGGTGTAAGTGAAGCTAATAGAAATTTCTAAGTTGTGTGGAGCCATTTTTTTAAAAACAATAATTAATTTTTACATCATTTGGTCCTTTTTGCATCTCAGTTGTAATCCCTGTGGGCTTCCCACCACCAATTCACCCATGTGCCATCAGCATAGTCCAGTGCACTTCCCTTCCCCCACTGTTTTTGATCCCATTTCCCACTCCACCCCCGTAAAATGTCTCTGATATATAGTTGTTCATTATTATTATTACTATTTTCTCACCTGGTCTGTTATACTCCTGCTATGAGTGAAACCATCCAGTATTTTTCCTTTTCTTTCTGGCTTATTTCACTAAGCATGATCTTTTCCAGCTCCATCCATGTTGCTGCAAAAGGCATGTGTTTATTTTTTTAGGTTGCTGAATAATATTCCATTGTGTATATGTATCACATCTTTTTAATCCAGTCATCTTGCATAGAGCCATTTTTTAAAAAGCCTTTCCAAGGTTCTTTTTTGACCCTAATTGTGCTAACTGTCCGACAAAACAGCTATTTAGTTTAGTTGTCATTCACTAACAACTTCCTCTTCCAAATCAAGATGAAATTTTGCTTCGATGTGAAACTATCACTATGAACTAACCTGTGCTTGCCTTCACCCAACCCCAGCTGATCACTACTCCTAAGGTTGAGAACAACATGTATGTGCAACAGCGAGATGAATATCTGGAAAGTTTCTGCAAGATGGCCACCAGGAAGATCTCCGTGATCACCATCTTTGGCCCTCTCCACAACAGCACCATGAAAATCGACCACTTCCAGCTAGGTTCTCTGAAATATTTGAATTATACTATAGTTCTCAGATCTAAGATGGGACAAACTACTGGAGAGGTTGGTGGGGGATCAAAAGAAATTTAACATGTACAGAAGTTCTTTTGCTGTAGTAACAAAGGTCAGTTTATTCATTCCTGTTGGTACTGGTTTAAGTTTTTGGGTATTTAAAATGAAAAACCTCCAAGTACTCTTGAAAGTCAGTAAGGTGGAGAAAAAAATAAGAGTAGTAAAGCCTAGAGGGCAAGAGCCTGGGGTGAGCGAGAAGCAGAGAGGTATTCAGCCCCAGCCAGGAGGACTCCAGAGTACCACCTTTAGTTCCTGCAGCCTTGCGGTTGCAAGGCCAGGTGAGAGAGGGAAATAACCAGGGTTGGCAGAAGCTAGGAAGCTAAACAAAAAGTTGAAAATATGGATAGAACAGTGCTCAAGCCATGCTGGAGAGCAGAAAAATTTGGCTAAGTATAGTTTTTGCCATTTCTCAGATTAAAGATACATGTGAGATTTGAGAAGCCTAGAGCTTGGCATTGGGCAATTGAAATCTAACTTACTGTGGTTCTTATGGGCACATGAGTATTTCTGTGAGGACTTACGCCTCCTAGTCAGAAGCTCCAAGTCTGACCCATGCAGTTCTTATAATTATCCTATCTCTAGGGCTTTATTTTTTAAATCTTTTTTCTTACATACATTGTCTACTTTTTAAATAATTTCTCATTTTAACTACAATGAAAATTCTTCCTGTTTCACCATGGCAAAGTCTGCATATTTTTCATAAAATATTTCATTTGAAAACATCTGCAATAAAACAAAAATATATTTTCCCCAAATGTTCAACTTCAGCACATATAACACATTACCTCACCAGTTTTTCTGTCTGGTGATCCTAGTAAAATTGAACGTCAGTCAGTCATAATTATGTCATAATTTGATTTGAATATGGCCTAAGGATTTAGATTGTATTTTTCTTATTGTGACAGATTCCCTTGGCATGAGATATATCCTCCTATTTTAAATTCACAGTAAAGTATCAATAGCTATAGACACAACGTTGGAGAGTGGATCTCAGGACTTACTCAGGAAGAAAGTTTCAATTATGTATTCTTTACATTTATGGGCTCACTGCCCCACGAGATAGCTCCAAAAGAAATAAATAGTTCTCGTTCCAGTGTCCCATCATAAATCCTTGAATTGTTGATTGGTTTGTGGACATTTATTCCTGTGCTATGTTTACATTTGGGAGGCAGGACAATAACAACAAGAATATCCTTAACCAAATCCACAATAACCATACAAGTAGAGGGGCACATGAATTTTGGAATCAAGCACCCTACTCAAATCCACACTAACAATGTATTTTTGGAGTGACCTCCTAAATTCAAGTTACCTCCTAAATTTCAGCTTAGAAAATCATTATATCAATTTTACAAACTATGATAAGGATTTAATAATATTAATCAATAATTTAATAACACCAATATTAATATTATTAATAATGTTAATAAGGATTTAATAATATCTGTCATATAATAAGTACATAGTGGTGGTCATTATTACCATTTGTTCACCACCACCATTTATCTGAAGATTGATGAACTGTCACCAGGGACTAGAGAACTTAAAACTGAAAAGCACTTATAATTACTTTCTGCTGATGACAAATGTTGACAATGAACTCTCACAGCTTATCTTCAGTGTCAGGCTGACTCAATTCCTGGTGACAAATTTGAAGCCCAAGAGACTAATATTACAAAGCCACAAATTTACTGGTTAACTGGGATTCCACTGTTTGCTTCCTGCATTTTCAAATAGTAGCACAAGCCAGTGAACTTAATTGTAATCCAGATGTCTAGAAAAGGAAGTAGACCTTCAGTCCCATACAGAACTGGTGCTGGCTGGTGATAAAAGCTCTTTTCCACCAGGTGTTCCCAGTGTCAAATGTGTTCCACCAACTGTTACAGAGAGTTCTTTCTCATTCCTTATTTCAGAGAAGTTTGGAAAAATCATTATATCGTCCACCTCAACCTTTATATGGTCATAACTGTTATAAACATCTGGTGCTGCCTTGGCAATTTTTAGCACTATTCCTGCTGCTTTTTAGACATCTGGATTGAATATGATTCTAGAGGGACTGAGGTTTTCTTTTTTTGTCTTATTGGAAATCAGGTAATGTGATTTGGATGTTTGCCTCTCATTGAGTGGCAGCTGAGATCTTTTATTTTGTTCCTCATCTAATTCCTGGAAGGTCTTTCTCTCCTTGTATCATGTCCCAGGTTACCTTTATGGGCAAGACTGTAGGATTTTTCAGCCAAGACTGGGAGTCAGCCGTGGGAAAACAGGAATTGGCATGTACCATGTTGAGTTCACAGTGAACCAAACTCCAGCCTTGACCAATTTTCAACTGGAAATCTATCAGACGACTTTATTTTTTTTAAAAAATAAATCAAACACTCTACTTTTCCAGCGATTTGCTGGACTTTAAAAGCAGAGCCTAACATTCAATTATAGTATGGGCTTACTCACCAGCTGCTACACCTAGATAAATGTATTTGAAACATCTGTGAAGGTCCGACAATACGAGGACACTTACCTTAAGGTTCCAACATTAGCATAGCCAGTGTTGTCTGTGTTTCAGCTAATTCCAGCATAGAGTAAGTCCATCTGGTTTAGCCAGCCTGAATATATGTAAGGGTTTAGAATGAGTGGACACTTAAAGGCATTCTTAATTACTAGCTGCATTTAATAGCAACCTATAATAGAGATATTTGTGTATATGTAAAGAAGATGAATTATTGCCAAATAGGAATAAATAGCTGATTAAATGTACTTTATTTCAGAATGGAAAGAGAAGTTGGGAGATACGAGAAAGCATGCTTCTTTTTGAGGAAAATACAGAGATAAAAAATACTTTGACACTGGTATTTGATCCAGATTCTAAGGGCTAGAACAGATAAGACATTTGGAGCAAAGGAAGTTTTTTGATAACTTTTTTCTAAAGAAAGAGGACTTTGAGGATAGTAGATTTTAAAAAGTAGGTAGATTAGTTGATGGCAGTGAAATGTGACAACAGGAAAAAAAAGTGTTGCTTCTTCATTTACATGAGCAAGGAACTCAGGTGAATTTTTAAAGTAGCTTTTGTGAGAACGATGGAAAAAGTTTCAGCCTAAACAAGTCTGACTTGGATCCTGTGGAAGATAACTGCTTTTTATGAATATCTCCCTACTAGGATCTATAAGAGTGTAAAAATATTGCTTTCCTTTGGGAGGGGACCTTGTCTCCAATTCTCCTTGTATCAGTGGTGACAAAGGCAGTTAGTTGCCTTCTATAGCTCCTGCACACTGTACAAGGCTAGGGATTGATCAAATTTCCAGTCTCCAGCTGTGGTGTCCCTCTCTGTTTACTCAGCCTCATTATCAGTCACTCTGTTGACAGTCAAGAGGGTAGAGAGAGCAGAGAGCCTTCTCCTCCCTTCTTCTGCCCTGGCTGTTTCCAGCATCAAGAGTATTGGTGTCAGGGTCAGCCCCTGACAATCAAGGGAGAAAAGGCACCTGATAAATCATATATATATATATATATATATCTCCAAGAAGATGTTATAAATATCAGAGAATTTTGAAATTGAGTGGATTTTTTTTTAAGAGGGACTTTGAAAACTGAGTAGATTTTTGACAGGTGAATACTGTCTTGATTTTTTAAAAATAAATGATATTTATTTTTATTCCAAAGTCATAGCCATAGAAAAAATATGCATAGATAATTATGTCTTACTTATTCCTGATCCCGTTATCCTATCACTCCCTGCTTCTATGGGTATTTTTATGATTCCTTGTTTATTCAGTTAGTGTCTCTCTGTGCAAATAATTATAAATATATCTTTTTCTTTCATTTATATATATATTTTTCTGCACTTCTACTTCTTCCCTAAAATATGTTTCCTGGAGATCTTTCCTTATGAATACTTAGAGATTTCCTCATTCTTTATTAAGCCACTGTAAGAATCTACCATGGTTTACTCCATTCTCCTTGTTGATGGGCACTTGGATTATTTTTCATATTTTATTACTATAAACAATTTCATCACTAGTGGCCTGTGTCACTCTGTATGTGGTTCTAGTTCCCTGGTGGGTGAGAATGATGACTCATCGCCGGGGGGAGTCGGCAAGCCTTCTTCAGGGGTGACTCAGCAGTTTTCACTCTGGCTTTGCTTCTTCTGATTTGCTGTCAGCAGGGTGGGCAGAGATGGGGCTCTGTCATCTTTATATGGGTTCATTTATTTTTATATTTATGTATTCACATTGAAAAGTTTTTGTTCAAACAAAATGTTTATGAAATAAAGTGCAGCTAATGAAAACTGTTCTAAGTATTTCAGGATGGAGGCCCAGAGCCTCTATTGACTTAGGTCCCACTGATTTCTCTCCCAAGACACCCAGACATACTCATATTTTATTTTCCTTAAGATAATGAGAAACCCATGCGAGTGGTGGACAATGAGGATTTGGTAGACCAGCACCTCATCAGCGAGCTGAGGAAACAGTACGGGATGACCTACAATGATTTCTTCATGGTGCTGACCGATGTAGACTTGAGAGTCAAGGTATGGGCTCCCATTTGAGATCATCCAGCACCATGCCTTATGATAGTGACTGCATTTTTTGGCACTGAATCTTAGACACATGAATAAATGCAAGTTATTTTATAAATGGAAAGGACTTGAAATAGAGAAAATATTCCATTTTGCCTTATAAAATTTGCATCAGACTAAATTCTTTTCGAACATCAGTGACATGTGCTTATCAGACCCTTGTTAAATAGCTATGATGTACCAGGTTAAAAGGAAAATGTTTGGTCTTTGTCTTCAGGAAACCCCAATTTAACCGAGGCTTATTTTACAAGGGTCTGGAATATTGCCTCCTGATCTAACATAGACAAGACAGTAGGGTTTTACAACAACTTTCTCCTTTTACTTATGTACAAAAGTTCTAAGCCATGAAAACTATGCCATGTAATCACAAGAATAACAACAAAAATAACTAACTTTACTGAGTGCTTTTAGTTTACCAGGTACTCAATTCAAGTCTTTACAACCTCTACCTCAAACCTCTAAGATGAAAAACAAATATTATCTTTGTTTCACAAAGGAACAATCAGGGTTATTAAATAATATTCCTACATTCAACCAGTAAGAGATGGACTTGACATGCACAGAGGCTAGGTCCAGAGCCCACTGGCCTAACCACTATGGTATGATGATCGTATACCAAGCTTATGAAAAAAAAAAAAAAAAAAAAAAACCAGAGGGCTTTCTGAAAAGCTGATTCAACTCACAATATTTTTCTAGATCTGGAGCAAGATCTTCATTACTTTAATCCACATCTGTGTTGCCTCACCTCTACTATGGAAGTTTGGAAGATCATTCCAAGGTCTTTGCCAGCTTTCACATTCTATGGTTTACTGAATTCCCAATGAGGTCACAGCTCCAAGCTGTGTTCCAAGCTGCTCTCTGGCTTACATTGGTTCTGCTTAGCCAGCCTCAAATCCATCTCAGATTATTGTAAATCCAGACAGTTACAATCTAGGATACTGATTTTCATTATCCTTAAGTTGATCCCAAATTTTTCTGAGGATACATAAGCAAACATGACCTGATTTCAAGTGATGTTCACCCCATAAGGTAGTCTTTGAGTGGTTTATGCGGCTTCCTAATGACCACAGAATATGCTTCCTTCTGGTGGAAAATTACCCTTATTGCTCAGCTCCTCATCTTAGTCCATCCCTGTTTGTCCATCCCAGTGTTTCCTACTTTTTCACCAGCTGTATAGTGAGCAGGAAACAGCTTGGTGCCAAAGGCAAGGTAATGAACCTGATACATCTGGTGAGGAAGGCAGTGAAAAAGAAATCCTTGTAAAATGTAAGGGGGTGGGGGGTGTTTCATGGATAGTGAGCCTCAAAGCATAGAATAGGTACTATTGAAGAAGAAAGTTTATACATCAACTAATTTTCTCAGTTCTCATATCCCCTGAATTCTTCCAAGTTATCTGTCCTCTAAACAGCGGGAAGAAACACTTACACATTCTATCCATTCTATTTTGTCTTAAACAGCAGTACTATGAGGTGCCTATAGCAATGAAGTCTGTGTTCGACTTGATCGACACTTTCCAGTCCCGAATCAAAGACCTGGAAAAGCAGAAGAAAGAAGGCATTGTCTGCAAGGAAGACAAGAAGCAGTCACTGGAGAACTTCCTATCCAGGTACCCCACTTTTGGAGCACCCCGAGAGGCATTTGGGAATGTGCTCTGAGCAATGTGCTCTGGGAAGTGAAAGCTTCCCAGTAATACAACAGCAGCTGTGTGCCTGTGACCTTTCTGCTGAGAGCTGTCTGTCCCTCAGCTCTTTGGCCACTGGGTTCAGTCTTGTCTTGTTGGAAGTGGCTCTGGCCACAGGCTGTCAGGGCCAGCTCCAAGCTTGAATGGTGATTGAGCTTTGGAGAAGTCCTTTTTATATTTTCCTCTTTTTTTTTCTTTTTTTTTGAGTATAGATGATAGAATTTTGAGCTGTGAAGATTAATTCATTCTGGCAGTGAGTTGGAGGGCTTTATGCACAGGATGTTATTTACATATTTATTTATTAAGCCCCATCTAGTTCCAAAAAGGATTTGAATGCTTTCTTCCAACTGTAGAAAATGTTAAAAAGGTCCCTCTAGGGCTGCAAAAGGAGAAATCCTCTTGACTCAACTCCCTGATTCCTGGGGAAAAATGGTTTTTGAAAACCATTGTAGGGAAACTCCAGTATGTACACAGAGAAAAATATAAATAATATTATCATCTTTCCCCTACTCCACTCCTCCCCCATATTCGGTCAAAATTCTACTGAACCACTGAGGCCCAGAAATGGGATAATTGGATCATATAGAATTTCTATTTTTAATTTTTTGAGGAATTTCTATCTGTTTTCCATAATGACTACAACAGTGTCTTCTAGAAAGACCATTCTCATAGGTGTGAGGTAGTAGCTCATTGTTGTTTTGATTTGTGTTCCTCTAACAGTAAGCGGTGATAAACATCTTTTCTTGTGCCTATTAGCCATCTGAGTGTCCTCTTCAGAGAAGTGTCTTTTAGAACCTCTGTCCATTTTTAATCAGATTTTTGTTTTTAATTGCTGAGCTTTGTGAGTTCTTTGTATAGTTTGGGTATTAACTCCTTGTCAAACATAAGATGTGCAAATATCTTCTACCCCTTAGTAGGATGTCTTTCAATACTAAAGAAAATGAAGGCCCAAACCTAGAACAAGTAAATAATCAATAAATTCTGGCGCTCAGTGGTATTAAGACCAGTTACTAAGCTTCAAGTTAGAGAACTTTGTCATAAAGGCAGAGGTAAGAGAAGGAAATTTAATAGACACCTTGAAATTAAAACCCAGGTAAATAAAATTGACATAAAAAAAAAAAGGCCCTCCCTGGTGGCGCAGCGGGTTAAAGCACAGCACTGAGAATCTAAAGCCATTTCCGCATGAGTTCGATTCCCGCCTGCCCCTGAGGTGACCACATGGCATGGCAGACCTCTCCTGACCCGCCCGCTGCTCCCCTCAGCTCGATCTGCCTGTTCTTCTCCCCACTCTGTCTCTGGTGAAGCCTCTCACCGCCCCTGAGCCTCTGGCCTGTACCCCAGTTCTGTATGCACAAATAAATAAATCTTAAAAAAAAAAAAAAGTAACAGTTCTGGGCTCTCCCTGATGGCATAACAGGTTAAAGCACTACATTATGAAGCTCTACATAGCCTAAAATGACAGAAAAACAGCTTGCTCCCCACTCTGTCTTTGGTGAATCCTCTCACCCACCACACCTCTTGCCTGTACCCCAGTTCTGTAATCATAAATAGATAAATCTTAAAAAAAGAAAAATTAAGAAAAAGTAACAGCTCTATAAATAAACCAATAACCAAATGGGAATTTTCCTTCAAATTTTCTGAGTTGTTGGTGGGTCTGTGTGGCCTGGTTTCAGCTGGCCAGACTCTACAGGCTGTCTAGTTTTTAGCAACACTAATCTAGTTCAGGCTATAATTACCTTTCTTTGTGACAGAAGCCCCAGAGGGTGGGCAGATGCAGACTAATTTGGGAATATTGGTTAAGAGCAGTAAACACAAGCATAGCTTGTAGAATTTTTATTTGCCAAGAACCTAAAATGACAGAAAAACAGCTTGTCCAAAATAAGGCTCTGCATCTCATTTATATTGCTTGTTACAGTGTGTGGAAGTTATTTCCTTCAGTGTCTGCCCTGGGGGTTAGTGTTTTAATGTAGATGTCTATCGGGAGGAAGCATCATTAACTTAGGAAGAAGCAACCCTCTCTTGGTTGTGTCTGACTGGGAGTCTCAGAGCCCAGCCCTCTCCAGTCAGGACTGCTTTCAATGGGGCACACAGGTAAACAAGTTAAAATACCCCTCTCCCAAAATAACTCTCTTCAGGACACCCTACAGCTCTGTGTGAGGCCAGGAAGCCTGACCTGGTGTGGAGGCCAACTAGGGGCTGGTCTGGCATGACTCCTAACGAAGCAGAGAAGGCACAGGAGAGGGTATTTGTGACCCTCATAGCAGTTACTGCTCCCTTTCCCAGGAAACTCAGACAGTCTAAGGGCTCCTCTCCCTTCCTCTGTGCCAAATACACTCATCTCTCTATCCTCAGTGGAGATTTTAGTTGTTCTTTCCTTTTGAAGAAAAACAAGCTGAGGAAGTTAATGTAATGTCACAGCAAGCCGTTCTTGGCCAGCCTTGCTACAGGCATCCATTCAGAGGTTGTATTTCATCAGACTATCATTTTCTCTCATTCACCCAAACCACTATTCCCCTAAGAGGCCATTTTCTTTGGGGTTGAAAACTCTCATGTTCACTCTGAGGCTGGAAGGGCACAGGGAAAGAAGCCGTGAATAAAATCAACTGGCTTCAGCTGACTGAGTGCACTAATACCCTGTAGTCTCCTGCCCTGAGGGCAGAAACAAAACCTCTTCTCCAGTGAAGGTGGAATTTGAGACAACTGTGCTCAACTGTCCCTTGGATGTAACGCCCCTTTTCATGAATCCTCTTAAGGATATGACAGCCCAGTAAAGTATCTGCATCTCTGTGGGCAACTGGCTAGGGAAACCACTGTACCAGGAGCTGGAGAAATCTGTATTTTGGTGCCAACTCTTAGCTCCCCCTTCACTTCCCTATGTCTCATCTTGTCATCTGTAAAATGGGAAGAATAAGCCATTCATTCACTGAACTCTAATGAGGGAACACAGACCTTGTAGGTGAAGGAGAGCTATAAAAATCACACACAAATTAAGGACTAAGTAGATTAACATAGAGCATTGTGATCAGTAGTGTCCAAAGTCTTTAATAGGCCCAAGTTGTACATGAAGATGTCAGCGGCAAAGACACAGCCTATAGTCAAGACATCACATGGAAACTTTCTACTGACGGGCTTTAGAGTTTATTTCTTCTAACACCCCTTTGAGCTATATGTTATTCTTGACTCTAGAGATAGGAAAGAGCTGAGATTTCAATGACCATAGTGACATGCACAAGGACACCCAAAAAGTAGGAGTACCAAAACATGAGCTCAACTTTTCGAGCTAAAAGACAAATACTCAGTCTGCAACCTTATTGTGTTGGAACTAGAATGCAGATTCAAATTCACTACTTGTTCTAAAATCCTGTGACTCTAGGTTTAGACCCTTCGATAGCATAGGAGCATTCTGTGTGTTCTAATTAATGACAATTTTAGAACCTCCGTTGGCCTCTGCAAGAAACCACTGGCTGCTGGGGAAGGCACACAGGGATTCTGCAACTTTTTTCCTGCTCTATTTCTTATCCATAGTATCATTTCTTAACACCTTCCAAACTCCAGGGCAGTCTCCAGGAACTTGAGTTTTCTTCAGTCCTCTCTGATTACCCCATTTCTGTTGCTACAATACAGTATATCATTTTGGCCAGGCTTCATCTCTTCCCAAGGGCATCATCTCTCCCCTGTGTGACCCCCATTGTGTGTGACAGCCAGACTCAGGCCTCAGGCCTCCTGCAGTTGCCACAGAGGTTGACTGAAATAACTATAGAAAGGGGGCAAGTAATATGGAAGAACAGTTTAATGGCTTTCAGGACCAACGAGCTATTTCTCAGGGTCAGTTTTTTTTTTTTAAAGATTTATTTATTCATATAGAACTGGGGTACAGGCCAGAGATATGGAGGGTGAGAGGATTCACCAGGGCCTGAGTGGGGAGCTGAACAGGCAGATCGATGAAGTACATTGCTGAGGGGAGCAGTGGATGAGTCAGGAGCGGTCTGCCCCACTATGTGGTCACCTCGGGAGCAGGCGGGGATCGAACTCATGAGGAAGTGGCTTAATCTTCTTAATGCTTAAGTGCTTTAACCCGCTGTGCCACCAGGGAGGGCCTTTTTTTTTTTTTTTTTTTTTAATTCTGGACATAGGATAAAACTGGCAGGCAATACACCCTGCTTCCTCACACTAACCTCTATTGTTTGTTTGAAGCAGTAATGGTGGCCTTTGCTTCTCTGCCAGGTTCCGATGGAGACGGCGGTTGCTGGTGATCTCTGCTCCTAATGATGAAGACTGGGCCTATTCACAGCAGCTCTCTGCCCTCAGTGGCCAGGCATGCAATTTTGGTGAGTGGGGCGCCTCATCATCACTGCTTTCCCATACTACCCTCTCATCCTGGTCAGTTCTAAAATGGAACATAGTAGCTTATATCATCCAAGAATTCCTCAGTTCAGACAGTAGATTTCCAGACACTTACTCAGTTTTACTGAGTATAAAGTCACTTTCAGACTGTGGCCTTAGTCAGAGGGGCTTTATTTATTTATTTTTTTTCCTCTCCGTATTCTCCCCTCTCAAGTTCTTTGTCCAAATATTTGCAAATATCTGCTGTTTGGCTTTCAGCGGTCTATATAGTATGTGTCTCTTCTGTTTTACTTTGTTTCAAGATCATAAATCTTAGGGATCATCATTCTCTTAGTACTAAACTGTCGCTAGATACATATACATAAATTGTTGTTTGTAAAACAGGGGTTCCGGGTCTTAATGTATTCATGAAGCACATTGTACTATATTGTCACTTAAAGAAGTACTTGATTTATAACTGGACACCAAGAAGATGGCAAGAACTGTGAAGCAGACATTTATTTTTTAAGACAAGCATATCAAAGAGAAACAGTTATGGTTATTTTGTAGGTAAATGTTGTGATGTGTCCTTCCTTTCCCAAACATTACTATCCTACCGGTCTGAGAGAGCTAAATCATTTCGAATATCAACATATATTAAGATAAATGTAAAGTATACTGAATTTATTGCTAAAGTCAGTGGGGACCCAAGAAGACAATGGAAATTTCAAAAGTGGAAATCACAACTGAAATCTCAGTTAAGATAAACCTCAACAATGGAAGAATTTTTGGGCAAGTCAAAGAAGAGAGAAAATAACTAGTGACCACAGTCTTAAAAATTTATAATAAGAACCTATATGCATCAGATTTATTTTGATACATCTATTGGAAGAAAAATCATTTGTTGTTTTCATATTTCCAAAACTGTTTTGAGTTATTAAGTGGGAGAATAGGTAAGTTTTGCAAAACATCAACAGAACCTGGGACATGGCTCTGACCCAGATTCTGTAAATTATATATACATTTCAGTTTTGAGATGTGAAATAATAAAATGAAGCAGAAAACATGTTTATAATATTAAGAATAATTAGAATAGTTGTGAAATTATGCTTAGATCCCTTTTATCAAACTTAATAACTTAAGACTTTATATTCAATATATATAAGATTTGATTGTGCCAACGTTTTAAAGCCCATTTGAAATTGATAGCCACTGGTCGTACTAGGTAACACAGTTCTTAGAACAGTTAATGACCCTTCACAATAAAAATGTACATATTTTTGTTAAATTTTAAAAGTTAACTTGTTAACTTTTAAAGAGCTCTTTGCAGCATCTGTTAAATGGTGTTTCATTTCTAATATCTGCCCATGGACGCTAAGTCATGTTAGTATAGGCAAACATAAACAGAACACACAGAAAATGAGAGTCACATTTCCCAGTAATAGTTAAATTTCTAATCTTCCCTATTCTGTACATGAGTCAATGTCATGTACAAAGGAATGTTTCACTTCTCTGAGAGAGGAGTAAAGGCCACCACATGTGTGAGGAAGGGAACAGCATTTTGGTTGGATTTCCACTCTCTTATAAAGGCCTTCCCAGAGAGTTTTCCATTTTCTTCTCCTTGGGTCCTTGACATTCTTAGTTCGTTCTGACTTAGGATCCTACTAGTCTCGGATTTTGAAACTGTGAAGTCTTGATCTGATGACTGCAGATTCCCTTGACCTCCAGTGTTCATTTCCCTTCATCTTCAAAAGGATTCCAACAAGCTTCAGATGCATGACCTTTTCTTGTTCCTGAAACTTTAGCTGGGGGCTAGAAGCAAGCTGAACTTGCTTAAATGTCCTGATTGGTCCTCAAAATAAGTGGTAGGAACCACTTGTTTGCCTTTTAAACAAACATTTGTGCAAGGAAGCCAAGACTTGCTTTACACTTGCAGTGAGAGAAAGTGGGTTTTCCAGGTAAGCTCTTGTGACTTCAGGACCGCTGACATTTTTCAGAACACAAAACATCTTAGACTATCTCAGATATTTTAATGTTTCTGTTTGTCACCTAACCACAAAGTGAAAACTATGGTTTAAGTGAAAATTCTATTTTAATCAGCAAACAAAACAGTTCACCCTGTTGTTAACCCTAAAATCTAAAATTGCTCTTTTCCAAAGTTTTAAAGGTATTCATTTTTATGGAAAAATTTTAAATGATTCATTTTGTTTATGGTAAATTAGGTTATATCCTTTTTAAACTTAGAGATTTTTAATTGTCCGGCATCTAGTCTTTGGAAGTAAAAGGTAGCTTGCTAACTCTATGGCTTTCTTTTTTTTTTTTTCTTCAGGTCTGCGCCACATAACCATTCTGAAGCTTCTAGGTGTTGGAGAGGAAGTTGGGGGAGTTTTAGAACTCTTCCCCATTAATGGTATGGTGCTGTAACTTTCAAATAGTGTTAAGTTACGTTCAAGCATATCAAGCTATATGCAAGAAGTGGTGTGACTATAATAGAGAACTTTCGCTGAATCCTCTCCTGTGTATGTGTGTGAATGAAACACAAACAATACTAACTTTAACATAAACTGATTCATACGTGACAGTAAAATATCTATTTCCTTAACTAAGATGACGTTTTTTTGTCTGTATAAATTTAGTTCTAGGGTTTACAAAGCATTTTCATTTATGTTACTTCATTTAATTCTCACAGTAATTTTATGAGGCACAGAGGTTAGGCCACAGGTTGTATCTGATTCTCTTTAACATGTGAAGACATATCCAAAAAGATTCAGAGAAACTGAAAGAAAATGACTCATGACTAGAAGTTTCGGGAAGCAAATCCATTCTAAGTTCAAACACTTTACATGAGACTGTGTATAACCCCTGCCATGGTACTGGACAGAGCAGACGCCCAGTGTTGTCTCCTCTCCTCTCCCCCTTTCTTCTTTTTGCCAATCATAAGAGCTTAAATACATTAATCCAGACCTTACTTAATTGGCACTTTCTACATTTGACAATGAAATGTACTTTTTGTTATAGACACAATAGCATCAAAAGGAAACTATTATTGCAAAGAAGTAACTAAGCTAACTGGAAATAAGCTTAGAAATATAAACATTAATATCTTTGTTCATGGTAAATTTTAATGAATCTTTCCAGGATTAGATTAAGATGCTATGTTACATTTTGTAATATTCCTATAAAAGAGACATCACCCGCCCCAACATTTGACACTAATAATGTTGTAAAAGTTCAGGGACATTTAACTTCTAGTAGAAAAAAAGCATTACAAACTTCTTAAATTGAATTTTGAGCTAAAGAGGACAGGTTCATGGGTCCTCCCTGCTTTATTGTAGGGATTTTTATCTTGCATGGAGGTTTGCTTAAGCTCTACCTTGAATTCACCAACAACTTTTCTGTTTTTCTTCCTCTTCCAGGGAGCTCTGTTGTTGATAGAGAAGACATACCAGCTCATTTGGTGAAAGACATTCGTAACTATTTTCAAGTGAGCCCAGAATACTTCTCCATGCTTCTAGTTGGGAAGGATGGAAATGTCAAATCCTGGTATCCTTCCCCCATGTGGTCCATGGTGATCGTTTATGACTTAATTGACTCAATGCAACTCAGGAGACAGGAAATGGCCATTCAGCAGTCACTGGGAATGCGCTGCCCGGAAGATGAATATGCAGGCTATGGTTACCATAGTTACCACCAAGGATACCAGGATGGTTACCAGGATGACTACCGTCATCATGAGAGCTACCACCATGGATACCCTTATTGAATACAAGTATGTAAACTTAGCCCCATTTTCCCCTGCAGTTGTTAAAGCCACACAAGGCCAGCTACATAAAGGAATTCCTCCACATTGCCTACATTCCCTGCCATTTTCTTTCAGAGTTCTTCAACAATTCAATAAATAGCAAATTTTTGCCTACTCATGTATTTGCCTACTCGTGTAAGCAATACTTGCTTATTGAAATCTTAAATCATGAAGATGTTTGAAAGAACTGTTTGCTTCTCTCACTGGATGCTGCCCTAAAGCTGAATGATCCTGAAAACAGATATTTTCCTTTGCCTACAAAATAGATACAAATTTTGACCTACAAAATTCTATGGAATTAGTATTTATACCTTCCTTTTACTTTTTAAAAAGGGATTATTTGGTTTAAATGAAAACCGTGGTTGTTAAAATTAGAGAGTGTAGCATAGATTTTTTCAGGATACACCTGAGCATATGGAACAGATAGTAATATTTCACCACCCCTTGAAATGCCGTGCACTATAACTCAGGTCTGCTTTTTATTATGCTTCTTTCATGAAGCTCAGTGTCTCAGGAGTCAAGTAATACTGGGTGTCAAAGCCAGCAGAGTACCCAAGCCAGCTTTGCTGTCATAACCACTTCCTGCCCTGTTTCTGTTATCTTTAGTATTCCTCAGAAATAGATGAAGTCAAAGGAATTCCTGTATCACCACAAGAATCTGACACTGCAGGTAAAGCTCATAGACTCCTGGCCTAAAAAAACTTGATTTCTCATGCTTGATCCTCAGTACTCACTTGCTTACGTGGCCTATCACCAAACTGGCATCTTATGAAAAGAAATTATGGTGAAGGAGATTATATCCAGGGATTCTTTTTCATTTTCAAAGGCAAATGTTACTAAACACAGTGGATAAAAGAGTAGCTGGGGCCCTCCCAGGTGGCGCAGCGGGTTAAAGCACAGCACTGAGAATCTGAAGCCACTTCCGCATGAGTTCGATTCCCGCCTGCCCCCGAGGTGGCCACATGGCGCGGCAGACCTCTCCTGGCCCGCCCACTGCTTCCCTCAGCAGTGTACTTCGTAGATCTGCCTGTTCTGCTCCCCACTCTGTCTCTGGTGAAGCCTCTCACCGCCCCTGAGCCTCTGGCCTGTACCCCAGTTCTGTATGCACAAATAAATAAATTAATTAAAAAAAAAAGAGTAGCTGGGGTGCAAAATATAATCCTTGTCTTTGAAAAAGAATACTTGGTTTTTACATATGGCATATCAAAAAACAAGAGCTGGCAGGCACTGAGACTATAAGGTGCGAGGGCACAGGGCCATCTGTTATCATAGCACTTGATGGGCGTCTTAAAAGCCACTGGCCTTGGGGAACTGCTGGTGCTTGTCCTGCCATGTATGTATCTGTGTGACCCGAGGTGTCATTTTAGTTCTGGGGCTCAGTTTTTCATCTCCAAGTAAGAAAAGTAGGGTTAGATTGGTAAATTCTGTCTAACTCTAATGGGTCTCTTTTTGACCATTACAGAGTGGGCTATTAAGATTAGAAGCTTCTCTAGATCAAATTGGTGTTAAGTTCTCAGAGAGCCCAGATGTCATTTTTTTTTTTTAAGATTTATTTATTTACTCGTACAGAACTGGGGTACAGGCCAGAGATGCGGAGGGTGAAAGGCTTCACCTGAGACAGAGTGGGGAGCAGAACAGGCAGATCGACGAAGTACACTGCTGAGGGGAGCAGCGGGCGGGTCAGGAGAGGTCTGGCTCGCCATGTGGTCACCTCCGGGGCAGGCGGGAATCGAACTCATGCAGAAGTGGCTTTAGCTTCTCAGTGCTGTGCTTTAACCCACTGCGCCACCAGGGAGGGCCCAGATGTCATTTTTAGAATAAGTTCAGATTTTTGTGGGAATGGGGAAAGGTATTAAATAACATTACTGAATTCTCTTCAGCTCAGTGCACTGTTATCATTGACCTATCAATGTCCCAATGGGGTCATTACTTCTCATACATTGAAACCCATGTCATCTCTTTTCATTCAAATCAGAACTCCCAAGAACCTAATAGGAACCTCCCCCTTTAAGGCATGTGCTTGTTCTTCAACATAATTCTTCATCTGGTAACCATGTGTACCTCTCTGACACCCTGAAACTTGAACAAACTGGGAAGTGCCTAGAAAGACTACAAAAGCTTTAAGTATTACTACTTCTTTCTGGAAAGCATAAGAATGATCCTCTAGCCTCAAATTCATGGACTGTTACTGGTGCCAAGGTGGGTGGGAAATTTCAGGTAGCTAAAATGACCCATGGACAAAATTTTCTTTGGTTTTCCTCCTCCCGTATAAGCATCCTTTTCCTCTCTTCAGGTCCCTCTTCCATCCATTCTGGAATACAGATGGCTACAACCAATTAGGTGTAACTGATAGGCTAACAATGCCTCCTGTTTCAAGGATGTCTATAAAGCCAAAGGAGATAACTGAAGGCATGTGGTAGGCAGCAGCTTGGCAAATCACTTCTGGAAGATTTGTCAAACACCGGAAGTGAGTCTTACTTTCACTTTCAAACATATTAGAGAAAGTAAATTCCTTCTGAAGACTTCATTATTATTCCATTTGTCTACTTCAGTCCTCTCTTCTATCTTTAGCTTGTTTCTTATGAATAATCTTTACAGAATCGTATTAGATCAAGGTAGACAAGGCCAGGAATATGCCCACATTTGGTAAGACCTGATCAGGAATAGCTGAATGTCTCGATGTATACAAAGAGCCATCAGCGCATTCCAGTTCTTAATCCAGAATACTAACTTGCAAGTTAGACATTTCTACTCTTTTCTATGTATTTTGCTAAAAGCCAGAAACACAAAACTATAAAAGACATTTCCCTGTACAGTAGCACACAGACCAATAAAGAACAGTCATGTACACTACGCTTAAATCATTGATGGGAATTTGTGTAGGGGAGGAAGGAAGCAGGGAGCGGTGAGTGCTGACAGTTCTTCACTATTAGAGGTTAGAATGATTACATTGCTCTCTCTGTTACACTCCCACTGATTGAGCAAGCACCTCAATTGAGAGGAATTAGAATTAAAAAGTTATATTGTGACCTTAATTAAAGTTGGATTAGTGGTGATAACTAGGATTACAAACTAAAAGGTACATGGTTAATTCTTGAAGGGAAATGTGCATAATTAAGAAAAATTAGTGAGTCTCCAAGTTTTATCCAATCTGTGACAGCATCGACTCTAAGACGCTGAATTAAACATAGTACCTGTTTTTTTTTTTAAGATTTATTTATTTATGCATACAGAACAGGGGTACAGGCCAGAGGTGTAGGGGCAGTGAGAGGATTCACCAGAGACAGAGTCGGGAGCAGAACAGGTATATCTATGAAGTACACTGCTGAGGGGAGCAGTGGGCAGGTCAGGAAAGGTCTGCTGCGCCATGTGGGTCACCTCCCATTCTGTGGCAGGAAGTGAACTCATACTGAAGAGGCTTTACATTCTTAGTGCTGTGCTTTAACCTGCTGCGCCACCAGGGAGCGCCCATAGTACTTGTTTGTAATCACGTTGAATTTTATTTTACATTTGTTGAAAGAGCATTTAAAGACATATATTATATGAATCAACTGATCACATGAAAAGGGAAACCACGAGTTAAACTATTTCTCAAATATCTTTTCATTTCAAGCCAGAATATTTTGAAGCACTTTTTGATGCAGAGTATAGCTTCCTGAGGTTGTTCTACCAAAGCAGGATATTAAGGCAGCAGCTCTTAGGAGAGCTTCTCATCCAGGTTATTGACACCCTATGTGTAAAATCTGATACTGACTTATTGATCCTACAGGAGCTACTAATGGACGATTTTCAAACCAGGGCTTTAAACCAACCCAATCCAATGTCAACTAGATTTGGTAAATCAAAGGCGTTATTGCATGATCAAGGGTGAGTAAAATTGCACTTTGTAATAGTTTAATAAAAATATGCAAATAACAACAGAAAGAATACAAATACCATTTCTAGTCAACTGTATGAAAACTAGAAATTCACAAAAGTATGATTAATAAAAGTCCCAGACACAAAGAAGCATAGTTAGAAAATAAAGACTAAAAATACCAAGTTTAAAGGCTTGAAGATGGACTGAAGATGTGTCTATGCCATGGACTATTTTTACTAGTTGGAAACATGTTCATTGACCAGCAAACAAAAACCAAAAATGTATTTCAAGTAGACATTATGGAATGGAGGCATAAAGCAAGCTTTAATAAAGCAAAATGTTAGAAACTATTCAATAACCTACTTAGAAAAAAGAACAATCCATCCATACACCAAATTATGAGAAAGAAAACAGACCCATAGAAACAGGAAATTTAAAAAAGTATAATAATGATTCATAAACTCCTCTGCACAAAAATTGGGATATATTGATGGTTATAAATGATCTAAAAGATATGATTAAGAGTGAACCAAGAAAAGGATGAGGAAGAAATAGAGAATGGGGTGGATAAAAAACAAAAGTACTGTTCAACAAAGTACCTGACCCACATAATTTTATTGGTGGCTTCTTTCAAAACTGCAGAAAACACATAATGTTGATGTTTTTAAAATCTCTCCAGAGTACTGAGGCCATCGGGAGATGGCGGGTTGACCCACATCACAAGTAATGGGAATGCTAGGGAACTGGGTTGCTCAATCACGGCAGGGTTAAGTGTGTTTAGCAATGTCAGCTGGTTTCAGTTATCTTGGCAAATAGAGGCAGTTACATGGTGCTTGTAGTAAGAAAATTGCCAAGTGTCTGCAGATATTTAGCAATTTGTTAGGAGATTTATTGTGATTCTAATTGAGCAAGACATCTAAGTTCATATTGAAGTGAAAATGTATTGGTTTTATAACTTTCTGTATTAATTTGCTTTGGTTTTCAGGCACAAAGTGTAAACAAAGTTTGTATTTGTGGATAGTAAGAGCAAAGTAGACTAAAGGTCTACCCTGAGAACTATGAGAAATTTTGTCCTTTAGAGAATGTACATTACTCAGTTTTAGAAAAACATTCATCCTTTGAGTTTCTCTGCTTTTTCTCTTCAACGGACAAGTACGAATTCCCGTAGCACATTCAGAACGTAAATAGGAAAGGTGCGGGGAGGACCGGGTCTGTTTGGTCAAGTCCTTTGGTTCTATACTGAAGGCTGAGAATCCCTGTGGCTTCTTGTAGTCTAATCCCATTCACAAGCTACAGGGCTTCCACGCGGGGAACCAGACAAAGGCCTTAAATTATAAACAAAGTAATTCTGCCCAAGTGTCTGCTGCACGTAGACTTTGGAAAATTTTGGTAGGAGGATGTGGCCAGCCAAGGATCTGGGATCCTGGGTTTCAGCCATCCCTCTATAACCAACAGCCACTTCCTGCCTCCCCTTAGGATTAGGCACAAGCTGGACAGAAGTCTGGGCCTAATACCAAAGACAATGTTGGAATCAGGTCCGATTAGTCCAACCAAAGGCTGTTCAGAAATTATGAAGAGAGCAGATTCAGTGTATTAATTATAAACTCCTTAGAATCTAAAATAGGAAGGGACTTATGACATCATTTATTTCAACTTCTACACCAATGAAAGAATCTCTTCTAAAACACCCTGGTGATATAATCTCCTCCTAAACACTCTTGTGACAGAGTTTACTATTACTCTGCACTACTCTTCAGAAAGACCTTTTCTATGATTGAAATATATTGTTAGGAGGGTTTTTCTTGTAAGGAGAGAATACACATCACCCTTTAACTTACGGTTCCTCATTATAGGAAAGTAGTCAATTTCTTTTGCCATGTTACAATTGTTTTTTCCCCAAGATCACCTAAGATCATATGGTATGGTTACTAGACCTCTCAGACTTCAGATACTCTCCATGAAGTAGTAGGATTTGCTATTTAATGTATTTTATAGTCAATATTTTTGCAAATTATATAATTTTGCAATATATATATATAGTTGATTTTATTTGTTTATATGTTTTATATGTTACATTTCCTAAACTTGAGGTCTGCCTACACTTCCTAATTTTTCCTACCTTTAAAACAGATTGACAGATGTAATTTTCCTGTTTTACCTAATTCTGGTGGGAAGATCCGGTATAAGAGAACACCTTTTTTATTCTCAGAAGTCAAGATCTATTGAAAGTTTTAAAAGTTTTAACCTTACCCCATTTTTAAAAAATTAAAGGTTCTCTGTTTCCCATCCCACATAACAGAGACAGTGATAGAGCTTTAATAATTGTTTTATTTATAAATATTCACCAAATCTTGCCAGATACATTATACTGATCTGTATTAAAGTTAGGGGAAAGAGATGAAATGTAAACACTACATGAGAATGATAGCAGAAAGCTCATATTTACAGTGCAATGTTCTGTAAACCCACAGGCTTATTACCTAAAGCCTCAGTTTTTAACCTACTAACACCTAGCTGCACAACCTTGGACAAGCAGTTTATGTTTTTTTAAGCTATCACCTGATTTTTCTACCTCATAGTGAACTAGCTGCATGCAGAATTATCTTGAAGAATACCATGCACATAATGTACCATCCAGCATCACTGCAAAGTACTTTATTACTGGTCCTTTTCTTTTTAGAGTAATGCTAACTATAATTGAGTAAAACACACTTATTTGTACAATAAACCTTTTACAAGAAGCCACTAGGCATTAATCTTACTGAAAATCTGGTTTGATTCTGATGTCAATGTCCACTCTTGAAAAAAAGATAACCTATTGAGACATATAATAATCATAAACTTAATAACAACATGAAATGCCTCATTAATTTTCCAAAATTCAATAGTCCAAGAGTAATGAAGTTAAACAGAGGAAAAAGCCTACCACAGCTTGTGATTTAAAAGAACAAGTGATAATTGTAAGAACCAACTTCCAGCTTCTAAAAATCAAATTCCCTACAAAGTCCTAAAAATTAAAATTCTAATATTTTGCTTCTGAAAAATTGTTTCTTTGGCAAAATATTTAGCACAGACTGTACCGAGACATTAAGGTCCATCAACCACATTTTTTGCCATGTTGCTTTTTAACTGCAAAACGAGTATCTCCAGGGTCTTAAAAAAACGGGACCAACGTGATAATCAATAATGATAAAAAGGGAAGATTTTGGCATGCTGAGCAAAACTATCTAATTATGGGTACCTGGCACATTGATTGCTATTTGTATATTAACAGAGTACAGTTCATGTGATTGTACAAGCATTCCGGAACCTTAGAGAACAAGGAAAACAATTTGTGAATATATCTTGTTTATGTGTCAAAGTAGTTTCTACCCTAGCACTCCCGTGTCAGTTCCTTAGAGTCTTTCAGTTTCCAGGTACTATAAGTCTGAATGGAACTGTTTAGAGGAGATATATTATGCAAAGAATTTATGCTTTAGAAATATGCTTGGTTTATCAAAAGATAAATATTACACATGCTGAAAATGTGAAAATAAGGTTCGTAAGAGAAATTAGAAACCATCTTCATCTGACTCAATATCACTCTTGGGTTTAGTAAGTCTTTCCAGTTCCTCTCCATCCTAAAAGGAAACATGAAATCGTTAATTAAAACAAAAGTAGACAACGTAGAGTTTTTAGTTTATTTGAACTTTATTTGAAATTTTTTTTAATTATGGATTTTATGTCATTAAACTAACTATCACTTGGCCAAATTAAATGAAATATTTCAGTTCTTGGAGAGTTAATCTTAGATGTATAATGGGTTAATGAAAAAATTGCAATGCACTTCAGTTACTTGTGTTTCAAAGTTAACAAGAGAGAAGGAGCTCCCTCTGCTGGTTTTGAGGGGAAATGACTAAAGACTGGAGAATGTATCAACTAGGACTTGTTACCTAAATGATTTTTCTTCTACTTCCAAAAATAGGGCAAACAATATTATCAGAACACTGGAAAGGAATACAGGAATTCTGAAATGTCTACTCTGGCTGAGCCCAGGCACAGGGGGCCCAACTTTTAGTTTTGTCATCTTAAGTATCTGTTGTATCACAACTTCCGAATTACTAAGGGAAGCTCTGCCACAATCTCTTAATAAGCAATAGTTAATACTCCCAGTAAGATGTTCATTTTGTGAAATAGTTCATATTTTATATGTTCATGAAACATGTAAATTTAAAGCTAGAGAGTATTTCATTTTTTATTTAAACTTATATTTAGGGCCTTACTATCTTCGAAATGGCATTATTAATTTGCCAGTGATATGACTAGAGGAGTTCCTCCAATGATAAGCAGTAGTTGTTTATATTCATGATGTTTACATGCATACATAATTTTCTAGAAAATAATTTTCTCTTACTTGTGATCCTTTCAAACACTCTTTTCCTAGTGCGATAAACAGGATACCCTTCTGCCAGACAGGTTTATGAATAATATGGGGGGAAATGAAGGAGCCGGTCTTTCCACTTATAATTAGTAAGATATACTGATGCAGACGATCAAGTTTTCTTGTGAGTGAGGTTCATTTCCCTAACCATGGTGAAGCAGAAAGAGTAAAGTGCTAGGCGTCAAATCTTATGCATTTAGTACCAGTTCTTTCACTCCTTAACTATAAACCATTCAGCCAGAGTTTGTTTCTTGCTTTGCAAAGTAGGAAGATAGTTTTAAACAAGATAACCCGTGGTAAATCTTCTAACTTTGTGGATCTTTAATATTCTATGATAAAATTAACACATAAGAAACTTGACTGTGCTTTAAACTTTTTATCTACCTGACGCTGTCATCATGAGTCCTTACAAACATAAGGAGCTCAATGAATGTTGAATGACTTTTAAGTCACACAGATATATCTGTTGACAAATCAGCACTGTCTTGTTTCTTTTCTTGATTTTGTGAACAACAGGCACAACGCAGTAACCCCTCACACTTACCCCACTGGAGCGTTCCCAAAGACTGCCACTTAGATCACGGATCCTTTCTTGCTTAGGTGCATATTGTAGCTCTTGAGGCTTGCTGGCATTATAAATAAATATGGAGAGAAGTACTGATGGTGCTTCTAAGAAAAACTCGAGGGAGGGCCTGAAGTCAAAGACCAGGACAGACACCGTTGTGATAATGACAGTGGTGACCTGGGCCATTAAGACATGGAACATGTTATCCCGGAACTTGAGAATGAAAGCCACCGAGAGGCCCTGGAATGCAGTTACAAATATGAGGGCTACTGAAAATGCACTGTGGCCATAAAAAAAACCGCAGCTCTTAATCTGATCACGGTTACTGCTCTGAAGGCCCAGGGTCAGTCCATTAAAAAGAATACCAAAGAAATAGAGCTTGCTGTTCTGTAGGAAGATGCTTTCAGTGAGCTGGTCCCCTTCCTTCAATATCTTTTCATTATAGATGTTGGCCATTGAGGAAATAAAGCACTGAACTATAATAAGAGCATGGCCCAAGCCAAGACGGATGTGACTGAAAACCCTGGCTGTGGAGTTCCATTTTGCTTCAGAAAAAGTCCACTCTTTTGCTGTGCAATTGTCATTGTTGGGACACTCGTTTCTGAAAAGAAGGCAGGAATTGGATGGGCTGAAGAAAATATCATGATGAAATCCATGTCCTGCCAGGTTATGCTGTGAGGTTTCAGTCCCAGTCGTGAGGGCCACAATAGACAGAAAGAGAATCAGGAGGGAGGCCCACTGTATCCAATTCAGATGCTTCCTGTTCAAAGATGAAAACAATATTTTATTATTGTTTTTCCCCTCCCATATAAATGGTTTCTATAGAAAATTTAGACACCCGAGTACTCGATTGACATTTTCATATTCAATTTTATAATAATTGTCCCTTGAGGCCATTCCAGTAGTCCACTTCATGACAGGTTTCCTTTAACCTATAGGTGTAACTAATACTCATTTTTGACTCCAGAACTGACCTTGGGCCTTTGGCACAGTAACTTTCAATCTTGCATACTGTACAATAAGTTATAGGAGGAATTCTCAACCTGGTTTCCATGAACCAGAAAGAATTGTAAACTGCAGAAATCTGAATCCTTGCTGTGTACGAAATCTTCAATTAATATATAGGTGAATTTCCAGCCCTCCTTTAGTCCTCTGGAGACACTTGAAAGTATTACTAAATTTTCAAAGGTATTGATGACCCAAAAAAGATTTAAGGAGGAAAAAGATCCATCATCTAGACCATACAGCAATCTAGGATTTATGAGCAAGAAAAAAATATTTTTAGTATTTCTATTTACAAAGTGCTAATAATGACTTACTTTGCTTTAAAATAAATTTGTAAGATATAGGGCAATGTATTATTTCATTTTGTGAACTCATTCAATTTAGTACACATGTGCTAATAAGCACCCTGATGAAAAGAGATTTGATGTCTATTTGCACTTTAGTAAGGAGAGAGGATGAAGCTAAATGATGGCAATGTAATGTGTGACAAACGATACATGGAGCAACTGGGGTACACTGATGTGGGGTCATGGGCCTATAAAGGATGTGGGCCTTGCTTCAAAGGAAAAATGATACTTGAGCTGAAAGATGAATAATTCAAGGTTACCATGTGAACAGGTGGTAGGTCTAAGCAGAGAGAAAAGTATATTCAGAGGAGAGGCTGTGGAGGAAATGAATCTTCAAGTTTGAAGGTGAATTGTGAAATGAAGGCCACCAAAAAAGGAGAAAAACAGAAGGTAGAAATGTAAAGCAACAGTGAGAACTAGGAAGGAAAATGTATTTAGTGCCCAGTGTGTCAGGCAGTTCCTAGTCCTAGTAAGGAAACTCATTCTGAGAGATTAAAACTGACATCCTAAGGTTGTGCATTTATGAAAAAGCAGGAAGAGATAAGAGCCATGGTTGTGCTATTATCTTCCTTATTGACTGATGCACCTCTTAAGTATAGTTCTGCATTCCCAGGGTGAATATATAGGAAGTTATGTCTGATTTCACTAATGCTTCCAAAGAGCTCCATGCTTTGACACTGCTAAATATGCAGGCTAGTTTAGATGCTAATCTCGTGCGCTGTCTTCCTGTGCATCTGCTTGCAAATACGCAGATCTAGTATTGAGTGGTGAGGTTCTCCTAGCCCTATGCAAGGGAAGCAGAAACTGTGAAGTAGTCATATAAATTTCTGAATGTGTAGCTGGTACCTTTTATGTGGTAGAAAGCAAACTGGGTGGAAACTGAAAACAGGATGAAAAATGGGAGCCCAACTGATAAAAATCTGTAATATACCAAATTACTGTATTTCACCAATGAGCTAATGACAGAATCTGCAGTTCCTTTACAAGTTTTTAATTTTGATAGCTATAGATTGTTCATTTATATTGACACTGAGAAAAAACAATCTAAGAAAAATAAAACCTTCACCAACCTAAACAGTACCTACTGCAAACAATTACTCATTGAAGGTAATACTCTGAGAGGTAAAAAGTATTAAGATTAGCCTGGCAATGGCAGCTTTTCAACAAAGAAAATGAAGTAATAAATTACCCTAAAAGTCAGCTGGGGCTCTCTGCTTTTACAAATCATGACTTATGGTACAGTTTATTCAATGTAATGAGAGCCAACTTTACTGATTCAGACTTGAACAGTAGCTGCATGGTTAGAGCTTGTGGATAGAAAGCTACCCTACCTGAGGGCCTCCAGTAGAGGCTTGCTCACAGAGACTGTTTCTAAAGATGCTTTTTGCAAGGTGACCTCAAAATTTTTAAGTATATATTTTAATGATTACATAAATAATAAATTCTGAATAAAAGGATTTCTGTTTTTAAGGAAAGTAAGCCAAATGCTTTAGGGTGATAAAGGCAAATCACTCAACAGATTTAAAAAAAAAAAAAAACTGCCTTTGAATTAGGTATGGTAATCATGGTGATCTAATTTTAAGATTAAGGAATGAGTAATAAAAGTTTAGGAGAATCTGCTTTAAAATTCTTTTTTTTTTGGGAATTAGTCTACTTTGAAAAAATTGAAAACAGAAATCATGCATGAGGTATTATCGATGTAACACCAAGTAGGAAAGAAGCCAAAAAAAAAAAAAAACCTTCAGCAAATGGTAGGCATATTCAAAGCAAAGGCCTTAGCCCTTCATCCAAAGAATGAGGAAAGTACATTTATATAACTTCACCTAAATTGCTTTAAGCACATTTTTTAAATGATTCCTTATTTTGAATTTTCCTAGCAAGTCAATTATTAGGTTCAAATTATGTCAGATAAAAAAGCATCTCTCTACTACATTTGGTGGTTATAAACCAACACAGAATATAAATATAATTTTTCAAGAAACTATACACAATACATTTCTTAGCAGCAGAGTGACCAGAAAGATTTATAATGAGAAGTTATTAAAAAGATTTATCACGACTGATTCTGGAGAAATACTGACTGACTGGCATTTTAACTTTTCTGCTGCTTTGGAGATTAACTTTTCTCACAACTTCCAAAACACCCATAATGTTTTAAAATGTGTCTTGTAATGTTTTCCCCATAGTTTTTCTTTGAAGAAATCAAAAAAAACATTATATATTCTTTAGGTTAAAATATCTGCTGGGCTTGACTATCTTTGGCCCCTACATCTTAAAATTGGACTTTAGCTTTTCTGCTAAAAGTTGAAGCAAACAAGTTCATACAATGCCGTCAAGCCTGAAGAGCAAACCAGTGTGGCTCTGAAGTATAATTGCTGCCACCAGTCCCATTTGAACCACTGGTTATACTTCATGGGACAGCTCGATGTATTCACATGGAGTTTCTCCAGAAAAGGCAATTTGAAGGCATTTGAATGGTGATGTTTCTCTTTTCCCTACTTGTCAATTCCTGCTAGTAATTTTTACATTAGTCATCAGACTTAGTTTTTGTAGTCTTACATCCTTTATTTGTATGGGAATGGTCCTTGATGGCTCTGGTGAAGTATACAATTAACAGGCTTAATATTCTAAATGAAACATTAGTTACTTAAGGTAAATAAAAGTGTGTTAAAACTCAAGTTGTTATTCCTGTAGTTCCAACCCTAAGGCTGGGAAAAGATCATCAAATGATTACTCACAAGTAGATTTTAATAGGGAAAAACAAACAAAACAACACACACCACCAGCAACAAGGAGATGAAAATAGAACAAAGTTGATCTTAAAATATAATTAATGTTAATATTTAAAAAGCATTCTCATAAAAGACGATGATAATCATATTGTAGCTCCACTGAAGTAGCTCAGTGTCAGTTTGTGAATCAGTCAAAAATCATTCTGACTTTTAAGGTCCGCTCTGGTAGTTAAGTTTGTACTTATGGAAATTATATGGAGGGCTTTTATTGTTTCTTTAAAATAAATAACTTCCAAGGACTTAAAATAGACATATTAACAACAAAGCAAACACATTCAATATTACTGTAAAAAGAATCAATATTAGAATTTTGAATATTGAGTCAAAAATATACAAAATTTAAACTTTAGTTCATAACATTGTATATTTTTACTAAAACAAGAAATAATATAATTGGTATTAATATAATAGCATTAAAAGCAAGCACTTAATGTTTATAGTACCTACACTTGAATTGGTTTCCAGAATTTGACTGATATGAATTATCAGATGCTTAAGTACTTAACAGGGTCATTTTTGTCTATGATATTGGCACTCCGCTGGGCAGGGGCAGCTCGTTTTGAATCGGTTCCCTTGTTCCCAGCCTTGCCTGTCCCAGATGCTCCCAGTGTTCTCATGTAGTCAAAGGGAACCACCCAAAGGCTGCAAAATACTCTGGCTCTGGCTCCAGTCAGACTCAGCTTAAGACAATCTACTGATTTCCTGAGGAGGGTAAGGTTGAAATAAGGTGGAAAGGCTCCCAGGGCACTGCCTGGCCCAGAGACCACAGTGTGTTCTCCCTTCCCAGCCTGGTGTGGACGCTCCCTAACTTTTCTGCCTATCAACCATGGGCTGTCTGTGGTGGACCTTGGCAGGTGGCCTCTCATCTAAGCCTAAGAGTCAAGATTCTGGATTCGCTAAAAACAAATAAAAAAAGAACTTCAGGCACAAACAGAGTTACCAGTCAATTTCAAGTCAGGTAATATGGACTTCCTTTCCTTTGGTAAATTCAGCTTCATATAGATGTAATTTTGACAAAATACTCAAGTATTATGTCTTATGTGTAGTACCATGTGTACTCATAATCTCATTTCACAGGGAAAAAAAAATGAAAACTGAAAAAGAAAACATGTTTTAAAAATCTTTGCCCCTTACTAAATAGTAAGCTTTTTAGTGTATGCCCATTTTTTTCCTCAATGGAAGTGTATCTTTAACTTTACCACAGGAATCAATATAAAAAATATTATTATCTTTTTAGAATGGCATCCTTTAACTTGCTAGTTGAATTATTTTTATCATTCATAAACAAAAACAACACGATGCAAAGCAAATTACAGTGTGCTGTAATATTTGAACTAGATGAAATATGTCATTCACTTTTCTCCACTTCTTGTATCAACCATTAAATTGAATGCTTCCTCAGGGTAAAAAAAAATTTCAAGGTTTCCATATAATTTATGTACTGAATGCATCATTGGTTCAAAAAAAATTTACTGAATGCCTGTGCACTGAGCCATTCATCTTTCTGTCCACATAAATTATGAGAGAACACACTATCATATAACAGAGATACACGAAGTTAAAGAAATAAATAAGGTGAATATGAAATTAAAAAAAAAAACAATCACAACAAATATAACAAGAAGTTAATTTTATTTTTATCATTATCATCATCACAACTATGCAATAAATTAAACTAGAGTTAAGTATACAGATGTATATTACTTTCTTGTCTTAGGACATTCTGGCCTATTCATGGCATTGCAGCAGGAAAACAATCTATTAAAAATATTTATTTTACTCAAAGATAGGAAAGACTGGTTAAAGCAGTTTCAAAAGTCTAAAAACCTATCCTTCTCAATAAATGTAATTTTGATAAACTCTTCATGCAAATTCTCAGCCAGTTAGAGATTAATCTCCTTTTAAGTAGCTTAAGAAAGAATTTGCCACTCCAAACTCCAAATAACAAATATACCAACAACCTTAGGAACTTCTTAGTTCCCTACTAGTATATAGCAAATCTGAAAAAAAAAAAAAAAAACAACAACAAGAAACAAAAGGCTCAATGTCATATAACATTTCATATAAATTCTTTGTTAAAAAATCTGGCACTAAAAATTAAAGTGCTAATTACAGCCCAGTAAATTATCTTTGAGATGCTTAAAAAACAACAAAAGAAATTCATATACTGAATTAATGAGGATGCCAAAAGGCCAGCACCTGAGCTATTTCCAGATGGGTTAAATAACTTGCTTAATACACAAAGACAGCCAGGAATAAAGTCCTGGTCTCGGGCTTCAGAGGTTTCGGTGCTCTGAGTATAGCACCTACAACAAGGCTGTGATGTTTTAAAGTATGAAAAATGCTTTCACAGCAAGTTACTTACTTCAGCACCATCCTGAATAGAAGAGCTGTTGTTATAATGCTAAAATTTGAGAAGATAACAGCCATGACCTAGAAAGAAAGAGATGACAGAGTTACAATCCAAACAATGGACTGACCTTAGAAATTTTCCAGCTTTGTGGTTCATTAGATAAAAAAACTTTCTGGTCAAAAACCAGAGGTTATTAGGGTAGTAATTTCACTAAAAGCTTAAATGCCATTTTTATTACTCCTTAAATGTATACAAGATGATCAAGTACTGTCCAGGCTTTGAAATGTGCTTTCAAATTCACCAAATACCTGTGTAAATCATCTATGTGTGCAAATACAAATATCTGGAAATACAAAATAATGTTTAATTAGGTCTAGAATTATCAGTCATCATGCTGATGAAACATATTTTCAAGCTCACAAAGCCAACAATATTATTTCTATAGGTAGAGAGGAGGCAGGTACTCTCAGGTTCAATTGTATATTACAAAATTGAGGTATAGGTCTTTAAACATCTTTACTATTTTAAGAATTGAATCAATATTTCTGATTGAAATGTAGTGAATCAATACAGGTGCTTGAACATCAAACTCATATTTGATTTATTCACAATGTTCTAAACACTTGGAAATGTGCTAGCTAGATTCAATAAACGTTTATTTTTGTGAATTTAAGTCATATTTCACATAGCTTAATCTCAGCATGTATATATTTTAGCTCAGAAAGTATGAAATTTTATCATTGTTCTCCATAACTGGATCTGACAATACTAGCTTTTTATGTGTTTTCTTAATAATATTTTTAAAACACAAATCATACTGATTTAGGTCACTCTTCTTTCTTCCTTGATGTCACGTTAACTTGATTAAATTCCAAAGGGTTGCAAATATGCAACAAAATTCGGGAAATAAGAGCAAACCTAATAAAGATTAGCAAAACTTCCAAGAATAAACATTGTTGTTTTTCTATTGAAGCTCTATGGAAATGACTATTTTAAGGCTTTTGCAGTATCCTCTGTGAACAAATGCATGTTGTGACTCCCTAATGTAGAAAAGTGAGAGGAGATGAGGTCAGCAAGTGGATGGTAAAATGGGGGTAAGTGATGCGATCAGCTGAAATAATGGCCTTGTAAATGCACATCATAAGCAGCTCACCAGCATGTGATGAGTTTTGAAAACATTTCCCATACAGTAGAATAAATAAGATATCAGAATGCTGCCCATAAATTTACAAGATTTTCTACTGAATTCTTTCCAACTAGACATGGAAATAACACACAGAATATATCTATAGTTATAAATAACTCAAAGAACTGTGTATAAGAAAGGGAAAGCAAAGCAATAAGCTAGAAGGAACAGGAAGTTTAATCTTGTTTTGATATTGGGGATATAAGAAAAGGGTTGAAAACAGAGCTAAAGTATTATCTTCAAATGGAACAAAACTAACATTTGCATACTGAAAATGAGTAACTGTTACTAGGTAGGACAAGAATCGTTTTGAAAGCAAGAATGTAGGACTGTGCATGCTGCAGACAGAACAAACACTTCACTAATACCAGGATCAAAAAGCTGAAAGGAACTGAGAGTAACCACTCAGCCCAGCTATCTGACTTTTGAGTTGATGCGGTTTTAATATCCTATTTTACAGATGGGTAACTGAAGGGTAGAAAAGCTGGGGCTTGCCTAGTTACCTGGCTTTTAAATTGTAAAAAGAACTTGTTTTCAATTTTGTTTAGTTTTCAATTACAGTGCTCTATTGATCCCTCCTTTTCATCCTACTGTAAAACTGACTTGGCAATATTTAAGAGGTCTTACATGAGGTCTAGTACCAATAGCAATCCTATTTATGATCAAAATGTCTTCTAAGAAACTTAAAAACACATTTTGGTAAAATGGCCATAGAAATCTTCATTTTATGAAATCAAAGGTAAACTATATATGTAATAAAAAGTGAGTAATATGCAAAAATAGAAGACCAATTTTACGAATTGATAACTCTCTAAAATGGCAAGAGATGAGAAATATTTGCAGTACAATCAGGTGTAGTTAGCATTTACAGTTGGAAGGATGGAATCTTTACCTTTAAAGAACTTGTTGGTTAAATGACTAGAACATCATACAAATAGAATACATGTAAACTACATTAACACAGGTAAGAAGGAGAAGTACATGGATTGTATAATTTTCTCAGTTACAGAAGTCTTCTGCGAAACCTAGATGCTTAAGTTTCTAATTGAGGTTGGTGACAAAGAATGGACCAGAGACTAGGCGGAATGATTAAGGTTCCACTAAGAGAGATAGCTCTAGGTTCATTCTCCAGGGAGTACTGCTCCCTCCACACCACACACACACCGGTCAGTGCAGTTTAAGACAGCAATCTTTAACAGTGAGAGAATCTAGCAAGCAGATTTTTAATTCAGAATTCAGATGATATGACAAACCTTAGCCAAGACAATGAGGGCAGTAAGAAACTAACAATGCCAAGGAAAATGCTAAAATAATTAGTTTTTCCTCAGATTAACTTCTCCGTATTTTTCCAATGGGACTTTCTTTGTCATATTTACTTACAGGCTGAAGGTAAGAAAGGACATAAAAGACAATCAAATTATCCAGGAAGTATAGAAAGGCAGGAACAGACCACTTGATGAAATTAGTGAGTTCCTTCCAGGAGGTGCATTTCAAGCATCTGCTTTGATGATCTAAAGAGAGGAAGAAAACAATAAATGATCTTAAAGAGAATGTCCAAGTTTATATTTAGAGGCAGTAAATTGTATTTGATTACTGATACAACTCTTTAAAAGAGACTTTATGAATATGCCCCATATGTGGGTATTAACCTTAAGAAATCAAAGACAATATAGGATTTCATTACTTTCTTCACCCACCACACCTCAGCATTGACATTCATCAACACCCTTAAGAATAGTTGTTCTCCTGATTCTTATTAACTTGAGAAAGAAGTTTCACTTAAAGCAACTTAGGGTACATTTATGGTTTCTCTTAATACTACAAAGCCTATAGCCAAGAGACAGCAACAAAAATAAAATGAAAAGATTGAAAATAATTATAAGCTTAAATGCTACAAATAATGGATGAATTTCATGAGCAAAAGACGTGCATTCAACTAGTAACTTTCCATGATTGAAATCCTTGAGTATGAAAGCCTACCTTTCTGGACACATTATTTAATAGTCTAAATTCTATGGTTTACATGAGAAGCAGATCAAAGCAGTGAGAGAGCTTCGGCTCAGTAACTCAGGATCTGAGAAAGAGACATCATCGATACTGAGTCACAAATGAGCCATACTCTAGCTGTGAGGATTAGTATCCCCACTGGATAGCTGGTAAAACAGAAGATCTGCGACCTTACAACAGTCTGGCTCCAGAATACATTGTGCTGACTCCAGTGTAGAAAATGGACACAGATGTGCAGTATACAGCACATGAAATCAGACAGCAGTGATTTAGAAAATGCTGAATTTCTACTATGTAACTTTCTCTTTGAATTTGTTTCAAAAACATGGGTAATGGTACTTAATGTTTGTATATTAACATCCTCACAGTTAAATCAGTGGGTAAATGAGAGGACTAAACCATCTAAGATGTTCCTTCCTGTCCTAAAAGTTTTGGTTCTATGGTTTTTAACAAGGGTTTAATATTGTTTCAAGACTCACCTTTCTTTATAACCCAGAAGGACACAAGCACACAGAAAATAAACTTCACCAGTTCTGAGAAAACATTCACAGTAGTTGGAAGATAATCATATTTGTTCTCTGAAATGTAATAAAAATGGCTTATAACCAAAAATTCTGTTTGATATAAAGCTCTTATACAGTTAATTGACAGCTATTTTTAAACTTAAAAGTTGGATTTTAATATTGATAATAGGAAACTTCATCTAATTGGCTTCACTCTATTCGATTTTTAAATTAATTTTCCTACTATATTGGCTACCTTTACCCCACTCAGCATTATATTATCCTTAAATTTGGTAAACATGCCTCTCAGATTTTCAACCAAGCAGCTGCTAAACAAGCTAAGGTGGCTAGAGGTAAGGACAAAGAAAGTTCTATGGCATGGCTCTATTCCAAGCTGTTCTAAATTGATTGTGTTCTAAATTAAACAGATCTTGTTCTAAATTGATCATTAATTAATACCCAGTGTCTGATTCAACAAATAGTTACAAATTTACCTGGTCCAATTATTACTCAGTTCATAGTACCTTGTGTGACTTTTTTGTCTTGTTGAAATCAAGGTACACTTTATGATATTCTCTTACTCAGAGTTTATTATCTGTTTCATATCTTGAAATTTTGGTTGGTACGCTGGAATAAATGGTACATGGGGTAGAAGAAGAAGCTACCTGAGGCAAGAGGAAATGGGTCCAGAGATCCCAGAGCTCTGGCAACCTCTGGCGCCAAGACAAAATATTCGGAAGCAGCCAAACCCTCTGACAAGTTGGGAAGCTGTAGTTTAATTGATAGGTCAATAGAATTAGGAAATGAGGTGTGGCTAGCATACTCTGATCTTAGCTCTAACCTTTTTTCTAAGTGCCTAACAACTTACTCTATAATTTGCCAAGCACAAACAAACTTTACTGCTGATGTAATTCTTAAGAAACTTTTCTGAATTTGCTCCATTAGTGACTAAGTTGAGTAAAGTACTTTCCCCCATTTTGACATTTGCTTGTTTCTCTTATCACTATAATAAATACAACAACTGGTAAGGTACAGAAAAAAATGTCAATTTGGCTTTCTCTCTAGAACACACCTTTCTCTTCTTTTCTATGACTTCTCTTGACCTTCTCAGCCTAAGATAAGCAATTGTTTATTCATCTCCGGTCCTGAAGCTCTACCTCTAAAAGACCTGTCATGTGGTAGTTATGGAAGTTACTTTTTATGTGTATGTCTTACTCCTAGAACATAAATTCTTTGTAAGAAAAGGACCATGATAGTGATCTTCTTATACCTAGCTATTAACAGTGTTCCACAATTAGCAGGTAGGACTTACTAATTGATCACCTAAATTCAAATATGTGCCTGTTAAACTTTCTCCATCATTCAAAGCCTAGTTAAAACACTCCCTTTTCTGAGTGCAAAGCTAAACTGCAATCACACTCTACTATCATCCAATACTACCCCGCGTTGCTGTACACCCTGACACATGAGTGAAAATGTACGCATGAATAGTGGGCATCAGATCACAAATTCCAACTTTCACTGCTCTTGAATACATTCTTAGTTTTCAGACTTTTTTCCCCTTGTATTTCTCTCATGGTTGATCCCAAATTGTGTTACAGCATCACATGTGCCCTCCCTGAAACCCCCACGTGTATATATATCTTATCTGCATTACGGCCATCATTACTGGTTTCACAGTTAAGGAGGAGAGCCTCGGCCCTACTATTCATTCATTCTCCTTTTTAAAACCTGCTCCAATAAGCAGCTTCTCTCGCTTTGGTATATTTTCTTTCTCTTCTTCTTCTTCTAACTGGTTTCCTCCCCCTGTCATTCCTAACTCTCCACCTTAAGTAAAAAGAAAGAAAAGAGCCAACCCTCTCCACTTCTTCCTACAACAGTGTTAACATTCACTATCTTCATTTATTCTTTTTATTTAGGTCTTATTGCCAAGCAATCACATCTCTGAGATCACCCAAACTTTCAAATTACTAATTCCAAAGGGTATGTTTTAATCCTTAATATAACTTTGTATTCCTCTATTTCGTTTCAAACTCTTTCCTTTCTATAAGTCATGTGAATTAGGGTTTGCAACTTCCTGATGTCCTTCATTAAGGCATTAAATAATGTTAAATAATGGCATTCTTTGGAATTCTGTCTTTGGCTCTTACTTTCTCATTCTGTGGTGTTACCCTGAACAAGCCTTCCTCTCAGGGAGTTTTAGTTATCACTTAATATTGAAGTCTCCAAGTCGATATTCCAGAACATTTAACTTACTGCTATTAAACACCTCCTATTGGTCATTTCATTTGAATCTTTTAGATTTGATGTGCTAGACACTGCAAAATACTGCAGTGCGCAAGGACATGGCTCCTGAACTCATGATAGCTACATTGCTAATGCCATGCAATCTCCCTAAACTCAGTCCAACCTGCTCTTCTCCTTATAGTTTCCATCTCAAATGAGAACATCATCAAATTCACTCAGGTTGGCAAATCAGAAAATTGAGCTTTCTAATACTTCATACCTCACCTTCTTTAATCTCCACCTTTAATATATTCTCCACACCCTGTTTTATCTATGTACAGAATACTGCTTGCATCAATCCTCTCTTCACTACTTCTACTTCCAAAACTTTGCTTAGTCTTTATCATATGTGGCTTGAATTTGCATAATCCCCTAACTGGCTAGCCTGCTTTCAGTCCCCTTTAGTCTATCTTCCATCCACTTAACCATATTAGTCTTCCTCATTTTACTCTTCTACTTAAAATCCTTCAAGTATACCTTACCTCTCAGACTACAGAATGAAGGCCCTCAGCATGAAGTCCTCAATTATCTCATCACTATTTCCTTCCTCCCTCCTTCATGTCCTGAAATTTTTTGCTCAATAATTCTGAACAATATACTGCTTTTTCATGCCTCCATTCATTTGTTTATACAGTTGCTCTATTTTGAGTACTCCTGCCCACCATGTCATCAGAGAAGTGTTGCCTGATTTTTTAGCCTCTCTCAGGTACAACACCTTCTATTCTAGGCTCCCACTGCATCTTTGGTATATGTATAATACACACAAACACACACACACACCAAAGATATAATATATATATATGCTAAATATATATATATACAAATATATATAATATATATACCAAATATATATAATAATTGCATTTATTATCGTTTATTTTCATGATGTAATTATATGTATATCTCTCTTAGTAAACTATGAGTTCCTGAGAACAAAGTCTAGGTCTCATGCACTTTAAACCCTATTACTAATCCTTACCCTAGTGCTTAACAGATAAATATTTACTGAGGCAGAGACTTACAAGACTATTCCAACAGGCCATTAATGGTCATTATGTCATGGTTTCATGTGTTCTCAAGAACTAATGAGAGGTTCTCAAAAAAGTTTTGTAGAAAGCTATTTAAAAACAAATTTTTACACATTGAGCATGTTAATCAAAGCTGACACTATGTTACTGTCCCTGTGATATAGCAATTCAGATAACATCTTATAAATGCCAAGTAACCAAACAAAAATATCTCTGTGCCTATTTCAAAATGAGTAATGCATGTGCATGTGTTTATGTATACATATGTGTACATATATACATACACATTGCTATAGGCACAGCAACATTTACTAAGTATTAGTCAGATGTTAAGATGTTTTACAAAGGGCTTGATCAAACCTTGCACTTAACTGACCCACATTTAATTCAACATCACCATTTTTTTTTGCCAAGTTATGAATATCTAAAGATTAAAATTTAAACATTCTTTACAATCATGAGAAACACAGTACTTGTAGGGTTACTATTCCCATTTTATATACAAAGACGAGAGAGAGTGTAATTAAATGAAGTGCTCCCTACATATTCCAAGTTTCAACATACCTTCATTGGCTGAATATTTTACCAGCAGGATTCGACTTGAGCTTAAAGCAATAAATATGGTCCCTAGCAGGAATGTATACATTGTTGTAAAGGAGCATAACAAAGGTCGACCCCGGTACTTGTTTTCCATTCCTCTGGCTTCTAATTGCCTTAAAGAGAAGAACATTTTTATAAGCATGCTGGCCAAATGAACACAAAACAAATACCAATGATCGGTAAAGACTAGAAAATGGAACTTTTGTTAGATGCCTGTCTATTGCTATATCAAAACCAAGAAAGCTGAAGAGTACAGGAGACATACTGAGAAAAGAGGGGTTAAAATTTCACGTGGGGCAACTCTAGTGACAGAAAAAGAGCTAAGTTAGATGAGCTGGCAAAGACAACAAGTAAGCAACTGAAACTTTGGGTGTGCAGAAAAGTAATTCTTTAGCTTTCATTCTCATTAGCAATTCTGGTCTAGCAGTAGGTAATTTCAGATTAGGAATTTTCTCCTGAAAAGTAGTGCTTCCATGGGAGGAAAAAAAACCTTACTGGGAAATAGTTCTTTAGAATAATGACCAAAATAGAAATATCTAATAAGCCACTGTTAATTTTTCATAAACTACTTAATGTTGGAAATAGAAGAGATCTTAGAAATCAGTGATTCGTAATGACCTCTTCTGATAGACTTAAGTCATTCAACTCCAAGGCGGATAGGGTAAGTAATTTGCCCAAAGCCTCCCAGTGTATAGAAGGTGCAACGCCCCAGGAAGACTAGGGAAGGATGGATTTGCAATGCCAACGCTGACAGCCCAACTCCGCGCAAGCGTACAGCGGCCAATGAGACTCCGCCCCTTCGGAAGTGTAGATTTCCTGCCCCGGTCAAGGAAAGCCTTTAGGTACACATGCGCAGTAGGAATTTCTTCCTGCGCGCCTTCCCCTCGTACGCACGCGCAATTCTCTGCCCAGGGGGCGCGGTTACCTCAGTCCCACCGGAGACCTTCTAGTGGAAGAGAGCACATACTAGAATTGACATAATTGTCTGTCTCCTCAGTAGCAGCTGCAGCTTTTGGGGTCCATAAGCGGGGAAGCTATGGGGCAGAGAGAAGGGCGAAAAAGCTTCTGCCCACGAGCCTTCTATTCCGGAACAAAAAAATCACAATAATGTCGACAAGGAAAAAGCGGAGCAGCGGCCCATCGCGCAAGCTCGCTCAGTGTTACGCTTCCGGGGGGAGGGGAGAAGAGGCTTGGTCCCGCCCAAGCGTGGCCTTTCTCGCGTCACGTGTGGGGAGAGTCCTGTGTCACGTGAGACCCAGGTGGCCGTGGAGCTACGGCAAGAGAGAGGGAAGGGGAAGTCGGAAGGGGCGCGAGTGAAGCCAGGGGGCGAAAACAGCCCCTGAAACGGCGAGGGGGTTGCGTGGGGCCACTTTTTTCTCCAGCTCTCCGCTCGGCCCGACTGTCTTCCTTTGGGGCCGTGTGACATTCAGGCCTGGTCTTTCTCGCGCCCTGCAGTAGCGCGCGCGCGCGTCGCCGGCCACCCCTCCCTCTCGTCCCGTCCGTCCCGTCGCGTCCCGTCGCGTCCCGTCCCCTCGGGTGTCGCTGGCCGGGTGCCTATGTGAGTCAACGGCAACGGGGACATTTTCTCACGTTGCGACCCCAGTCCCTGCTGCCCATCCCCCCCGCCCCGGGGCCGGCCGCGACTCCGGCCCCAGGATGCAGAATGTGATTAACACAGTGAAGGGAAAGGCGCTGGAAGTGGCTGAGTACCTGACCCCGGTCCTTAAGGTAAGCTGGGCCGGACTTGGCAGGGGCTGTCAGGCACATGCTCAGCTCGGCGGACCGAGGACCCGGCGCCGGACAAGTCACCATGTTTTCCGGCGGGGAGAGTTGTAGGTGGGAAGAGGGGGGCAGGATGAGACGCCAGAAAAGGTGCAACCCCCTCCCCACCCATGGGGTCGCTCGGCGGTTCTCTGGGGCTTTCCAGCGGCTGGTGGAAACTGGGGAGGCTACGCGCGCACCCCGGGACTCCACCCTCTAGAGCGCGGGGAATCTGGGGACGTTGGTTTGGTAGGTGGTCCGCAGCCAAGTCGATTTCAAAACGTGAGGAAACCCCGGGCTCGAACATTTAAAACAAATATTTTTGTTTATCTTAAAAAAAAAAAAGATATTGTTTGGTACTAAAGTAATATATGTTATCTTTTTCTTTCAAACAATAAATTCTCTTTAAATTGTTTGACATAGTTGTGACAGTCTCAACTTGTTCGATTTCAGAGGAGCAAGTAACATTTGCAATATTATCTGTCGGTACCACTGAACGCAGCAAGCAAAATCTCCCTTTCCTATAAGTTATAAAAATAGCCGAAACGAGTTAATGTGTCCTGGACGTCAGTGATGATAAGGTGCAGCTTGACCCACTTTGATAATTTTTACCCCCTTTGGCAATGGAGATTCTTTAAAGTAAAAATTGTAACACGTTAGCAATTACAACAGTGCCTGACATATTTTCAAATACAAATTTCAAGAAGTGTATTCAGGCTTTTATAATTCATGTAGAGTAACTTTTTTGTTATTGTAACTTTATTTTCCCTTTTGGAAAAGCAAAAAGTGATAATAAATAGGTTCTTGCTTATTTTTTCCTAAGCTTTAATTAAAACTTTACAAATCGTGCACAACTGAAATATCCTTGGAAATATTTAGTTCTAGTATTCAAGAAGTTACTTTGATATTCCTAGAGAACATTAAACAGTTTTACTTCTCTCTCCATAACAGGAAAATGTCCCCATATTTTGTTTTTGTTTCTAAAATTGATATTGAAGGATATTAAAGAAAGTTTATAAATAAGAATGCCAACTCTTGCTGTTTTTGCTGTACTTATGTTGAACCCTATCAAGGTTTTTTAGTCAACTCTGAATTTGAAAATAATTTTGACATTTCACTCAAGTGATTCTTTTGCATATTATGTATTTTTTTCAGAAAAGTGTACGTATGTATAAGACATTTGAATAATACACAATTGTTATAATTTTCTACATTTCTGGGGTAAGGAACTAGAGAAAAAGATCACCTTGATTAAATAGAAAACGGCTGTCTTACTAGTCAGTTTTACTTTATTGAATCCATTTTACTGTTTCACATAACTGGAAAGGAAGTGTTAACTTGACAGTGTGTATGGTATTTAACATGCTTAATTTAACAAACAAGCAAAATTACTGATCCTTTCTTTGGTGATTGGGGGAGAGGGGAGCTGCAAACTCTTGGTTTATAGAAAGAATCCTTATAATTTACTAGATGCAGGGAAACAACGAAAACACCTAAAAACCCCAGGAAAGAAATGATGCCTTCTCTCACCGTAAAAATTAAAATTCATGGAAGACTTCCACTAAATACCGAAGTCCTTATAGTGAACTTTAAGACCTTATACTTAACCTGGTTGAAGCCCCTGTTTCATTTACTATCCCAACCCTTGCTCACTTCTCTTAAGCCAGACTGACCTTTTTGTTACCTCTATTATGCACTTTCTTTCCTTGTATTTTTTGGTTTGGTTTGCATTTACCCTTTCCTGACTGGAAATGTTCTCCCCTAGACAGCCTTGTGCATGGCCTAGGCCCCTGCTCAATATTCACCTATCAGTGAAGTCTGTTTTCTGACCAGCCTACTTTTCATAGCCATTTTCTCTCCACCCCCTCCTGTTTTTGTTTTTTTTTTTCTTCAGATCATTTTTTCTTCATGGTATTCTTTACAATTTGGCTCCCCCCCCCCTTGTTTAAATTTATGAGGTCCAGGATGAATTAGATCTATGCATACATATCTATATTCCCATTACCTCAGGTAGCGTCTAGTACTTAGTAGTTGTTTGCTGAATAGTTGTTGAATAAATGATGTTCATAAATTGTCATCTTTGTAGATTAGTACAAAAATCTTACATGAAGGTTAAAATACTATAAAAATTAGTAAATATGACCCTTTCTTTAAAGGAGAGGCTATTGTAGCAATGACTTGATGAGACTAATGGGAAAATATTGATATATGTTTTCTAGATTTGGTTTCCAATAGTATGCAGTTTATATAAGATGTTACCTCAATTGTAATATATTTTACCTGTAAGACTTTTTTATTGTTTCATGAAACAATAATGAACAAAGTAATTGTGAGGCTTAATGTTTACATAAAATTATGAATATTTTTTCCAAAGAGCTTTGCTGTATTATAGCATTAATTTAACTATAATGCATTATTTTCATGTCATTTTCATCATTTGTCTTGTATGTTCTATGAGGTCAGATACCAGTGATACATTCTTTCTGTAGGTGTTCCATTGTCTAGAAGAGTGCCAGGCAAATAATTGCCCCACAGACATTTTTAATTTGAAGTGGAAGTATAACCCTTACTCTTATTGCTCTCTTTAGGAATCAAAGTTTAAGGAAACAGGTGTTATCACTCCAGAAGAGGTGAGTGTTGAAGATACTCTCAAGAAAATATTTTGAACTTTAATCTTGATTGAGTAAAATTAGATTGTTTGCTGTGTTTTAGCAATATTATAGGGATTTTTTACTTCTTGTGTAATAGATGTAACTTCCCTTTCATCTTTCCACTTCTCATATTTCTCTCTGGTTCCTCTTTATTTAGAAATGAGGGTGGGAGAAGGAATGGAACAGATTTCTAACCCTTCATATTTGTATTAAACTGCAATGTGCAGTAGAAGCTGCTGTCTGCCATGTCTTGCCTCTGCCTACACTGACCATAAGTTTTCATGGTTATCTATTTTAAATTTCACTTATTGCTTGTGTATTTCATTTTGCGTAGTAGCATATATTAACATGAATTTCTCGCCATTCTTTTCTTTTCCTACTAACCAAGTAATGTTGAATATGCTTTATGATGAAACCAGTGTCTATTTTATAGGATAGTTATGTTTTATTGAACTTTAAACATGGAGTAATGTTTTGAGGAATCATTTTACTTATCCAGCAAATCTGTATAATAAAAAAGGTCACCAAATGTATACAATAAAAAGGTTCTTTTTCAGTGGTTTGTTATCCTTAAAGAAATAAATACTGGTCTGAAAACCCTTTTAGGTTCCAACTATGAATATAGTAGCCTCGTACTTATTTTTGGCCTAATAAATAGCAAGGAATTATTTGGCAAAGAAATAAAGAAATGCTGTATTAAAAGCATCACTCATTTACAATAAAATTTTATTTAACTGTTTTTTTAAAAAACATTTCATAATGAGCTTGTAGTAAGATCTGACTGTTGCTATAAATTTCAGTATCTCAAGCCAGAGAATGAATACTTTTCTATTCTCAATTATCATAAAATCTCTCTAGATCTAAATTCTTGGGTATTCTAAGAACAGTGCTAAATGGATTTTTTTAAGTCTACAATTGTCTATTTTTAGTGAAGACACATGATAGTATGGGAAGAATGCAGGGGAATTATCTTCTGGATATATTTCTCTATAATCTCTTGTTCTGATTCAGGCGAATCAATTAACTTGCTAGGGACAGACTTTGTTTCCTCACCTATATAAATGAGGAATTCTGGCTAGGCAATCTTCAAAGGAGTCATTCTACCTGAGAGATTATGGCTTTAATACATACCAAACAAAGGTGTAATGTAGACAAGACTTTGAAATGAAGTAGCTGAAATCAGCCACAGAGATAAAAGTATGCGTTCTTCATGCACTATCTCCTTGGTGTTACCGTGACTAATTGGTAAATAGAGTTGGAGATTAGAGTCTGTGGTCATTAGATAGAATTAAGCAAACTCTTTTAAAACAGATGCTAATCATGGAATGAATGCTTGTTATACTTAATTGTATCATTAAGTGGTTTGTGAATTTTCCTTTAAAAACAAAAAAGCAGGGCAAAACTAGTTCAGCTGTGTACCAACCACATAATGTTGGATTGGGATAGAGCACAATTACAGGATTGGGTAAGATTAGATTGAATCTAGAAGAGGAAAATGAGAAGGCATAATTTACTTTGAATAAATGCTAAGTTGATCTGTTCATTTGTTTTCTCTTACTGTGTCTGGATTCTGACTGGCAGAAGTCTTTTTGTTCCCCCATTGAGAGGTGTGTAACTACTATGTTTGAAAGAGGGACAGGCATATCTATTATATTATTAAATGACTTAGAATAATGTGTGTGTGCCTTGATTAAGAAGAGTACTAGTAATGGAGGGTAGCTTGAGATAGTTGTTCACCAAAATGTTAATATTGATTCCATCTTATTGGAGTATTCAGTATTACATAATTAATCACTAAGAGAAAGCTGTATGCAGTATTGGGAATTCAGAAATTTGAGTCTTTGTCTTACATTCGATTTCATTTGAGGATATGAAATGTATTAATGAGGGCAGATGTGCACATGTACTAATGATCAGCAAGTCTGTTTTTTTAAAAAATAGTTTTCTTTTCCTACCAGTGTTTTTTTCTTTTCTTTTCTTTTAATAGATGCTACTAGAAGTGCCATGGACTAAATTATTAGTTTTGTAATCTCAAGGCAATATTATTAAAATAGGTTTTAAAATTCTTTGTTTTGCATGCATTTTGCTAAATTAACACTCTTGGTAATGTTAGATTCAGTCCTGATGATCGCAGTTAATCGTAGCAGCTAGTTGTCACAAACCAAAATACATCGTGGAGTGAGAATATTGTTTTTTTTTTTTGAGGGGGGAAGGTTGTCTTTACCAGTTTAAATACTAAAAAAAAAAATTAATTGAAATTGGGCCCTCCCTGGTGGCATAGCAGGTTAAAGCACAGCACAAAGAAGCTTAGGCCACTTCTGCATGAGTTCAATCCCCGCCTGCCCCAGAGATGACCACATGGCCGGCAGACCTCTCCTAATCCGCCCGCTGCTCCCCTCAGCAGTACTTCGTCCATCTACCTGTTCTGCTCCCCACTCTGTCTCTGATGCATCCTCTCAACCTCCACATCTCTGGCCTGTACCCCAGTTCCATATGAATAAATAAATAAATCTTAAAAAAAAATTAATTGAAATTAAAAAACAGTACTGTGTAAAGTTTTCCTTGGGAATATACTGTTAAATCTTACCATGGTGATACATCCTCTTGAAGTTATTCTCATAAATTATAAGAAAGTAAGTATCAAAATTAACAGACAACTCTATAAACAAGGGACATTCTGCAGATGGCAAGAGGGGAGTAGGATCAAAACAGGAGTGGGAAGAGTATAGGAACTCTGGTGATGGTACATGGTGAACTGGTGGTGGGAACTTCATGGGGAGTACACTGAGATGAAAAAGCACACATTGTGCAAAAATGAAAAATGATGTTTAAAAAATATATATCATAATTTTTTTAAAGTTTCTCAACACAGTTTTACTCTCAGAATAGTATTATACATGTGCATTTCTCAGACATTAAAAGTGAAAGAGAATACAGTTTTTTTGCTGTTACAAACTCACAAATTACATTTTAATCTATTCTGGAATAGAAAGTGATTAGGAAAGTATGTGCACATGTTACTTGAGTTGGGTCATTACAGTTATGCTTAACAGACTTTAATTTTCTATTCTCAAAAATAAGTATAATTTCACTAAGGTCATTTCATGTTCATGTATAATGGTAATTCTCAAAAAGATTAGTTCTACCTGAATCTGTTTTTTCTTTCTGTAGAAAAGCATTTTTTCCTGTGTTCAGCCTGACCAGAAAGTGTAAGGTTTTTTAGAAGATTCAATTTCTTAATTATCTTGGTGTTTTCCAAATCAGTTCAAAAGCTAATTTTCCCCCTTTGTTTGGACAGTGTTTCTCTTTTTTCTTAAGGATTTATATAAAAGTATAAGAAAGCTTTTGGGCCCTCCCTGGTGGCACAGCAGGTTAAATTACAGCACTGAGAAGCTAAAAGCCACTTCAGTATGAGTTCAATCCCTGCCCTGGAGGTGACCCACGTGGCTCGTCAGACCTCTCTTCACCCTCCCACTGCTCCATTCAGCAGTGTACTTTGTCTGTCGGCCTCTTCTGCACCCCACTCTCTCTGGTGAATCCTCTCACTGCCCTTGCACCTCTAGCCTGTACCCCAGTTCTGTATGCATAAATAGATCAGTCTTAAAAAAAAAATCTTTCAAAATTGTCTCTTATGTAAATAGAAAAAAAGAGGAAGGAGAAATGTGTATTATGATGTAATAGTTATTTTTACATTCTAAACCTGTTTAATAATTTTTCAAAGACTTTCATTGAACTTTTTATCAGTGAGAATCTCTCTTGTTTATCCATAAAATAGTTTTTCACATTTTAAATTCTGTGTGTTACCTTTATTCCTTTCATCGCTCTTTTTGACTTTTTAATCCAGTGATAAAAATTGATTTAAAAAATATCTCACAATTTTTCTTCCAAAATTATTTTTATGGGTATTAAAATTTTTATAATTTTAATAAAAACCAAACAAATCTTTAAGCTTGTAGAATAATTTTGGTGTTATCCTTATTTTAACTGTTTATTGGGTATCGAGGTTACAAAGAAGAAGTATTTTTTGCTGCCTTATATTCAGTGATGTTCACTTTTTCTTTTTCCTTTTTTTCATATTCCTTCGAAAACTGCATAGTTTGTGGCAGCTGGAGATCACTTAGTCCACCACTGCCCAACATGGCAATGGTAAGTAAATGTGAATTAAGAATAAAAAATATTTAGTAAATGACAAGACTTCCTAATTATGGCAGTTTGCAAAACAGTTTTATGCATGGAAATTAGAATGACCACTTTAATGTTTTTCTAGCAGAATTTTCTTCTTTAGCAGTGCCTCATTGACAAAGTAAAATAAAGAAAAATATGAGCATTATACCTATTTTGTTTTACTCTTTTAGCACAAAAGATGGATATTTTTGAGATAAGTATCTTTACTTCCTTTACTAGTCTTTCTTTATATTGTCTAGGTTTCTCTTGTGATCTTTAAAAAATAGTGTTCAAGTGTTTGATTTGATCATTTGATCAGCTCATTTTTTTCAAGTTAAAAATTTTAGTGAATATTTTTATAGCATAAATGCAGAAACTCTGCAGCTTCTTGTGTTCTTTAACTATAAGATCTATTATGTTTCAAAAATTGCTTCCTTTTTGGAATTATTTCAAAATTTAAGAGATTCTTAATGTTGATGAAAGTTTTAATTGGAAGTATGCCTGTGATAGTTTTATGGAATTCTTATTTCCTTCATGAGCTTTTAATTATAAAATTTAGGCATTAACATGTATTTTAAGTATTCTTAATAATAGAATGTTTTAAAACAAGTTTACTTCAAGTGCTTATGGTGAGACCGCATTGACAATAACTGAAAAATTAACTCCAGTACTGGGAGAACTATTTTAATTAGGCTCAAATTGTTTGGAAGGAATTATCATCTTGTTTGGATGAAATGATTCAATTTGTTATATCCTTTTTATCCCCCTCAATGACACTTGTCAATTACATTTGTAAGACACATTTATTTCTGGGGTAGGTGCTTTGTAATTAAGGAGGTTCTAATTGAATGTTTTCCTAAATCTCTAAGGAACTTAAATAAGCTGTTTTAAACCAGAGTTAGAACCCATTCTTCTGTTGCCTATTTTATTGTCCTTATTTTTTGTAGATAACCCATATCCAAAATTGTTTTTATTGCTTTTTATCAATAGCTCTTTATCTTTTATAGCATTGTTTCCTATATACTAAGAAAGACAAAATGTCAGATTCATTTACTTTTATGTCCTGGTTTTTTTTAACAAGTATCTTTCATATTTTAAATTGAGTCAATAATGATAGAAGCCTTCTGATTTAATGGACAGTTAACTTGTTTTTCTCTTTCCTAAACTGTCAAGCTTTATCAAGATTCTTTCCTATAATTTATATATATATTTCATGTTAAGTAAACGTATAAAATTTTAAATAATAATCATTTTTTAAAGAGAACTAATTTAGGATTTTCTTCAGTGTGATAACACATTTTCCTTACACTTCTTTGTCAGAGCCCTTAACTGCCCAATTAGTTTAGTGATATGATTTGTATTACTGTTTTAGAGGTTTTTATTTATGCACAGTATCTTCTTTCAGCACATGGTGGTTTATAGTTCCATTTTATGAATTGTGATGATTAAAATGGCATGTTCATGTCATAATTTTTTGTAGCTTAGAATTCAGTAATTGCTGACATTTCTGACTCAAAAGAGGGGCCCAAGAAACAACTTCCTTTTGAGTCATACTATCTCCATGCTGTTTTTCATGTCTACAGGAATATCTTCTTTTGGAACTTAAGTAATTGCAATGACATTATTGAATTTGATACTTGGGAATTGGTCTAAAGGAGCCTAGATAGCTACTAAATAATATTAACTCATTTCCTGGCTGTATTTTGTGCTTAAATCTATTGTTTGGATAATTGAAGCTGAGAAGGCAACAGAACTCCAAATTTATGTATATAGCTTTGTGAAAAACACCACATGCCACCCAGCTTTGGCCAGTTGTAAGTGATCTACAGAAGAATCTTTGAACAAATTAAAGAGATATTCTAGAATACCTCCAAAATATAAGAAATGTTATAGCTGGTTCTGAGTCAGAGGGAATAGTATTTAAGAGTGGGGACTTGATTTGATCCTTGTTCTTCCACCTTCTAGTTTGACCGTGGACAAACTGAAATCTTTAAGTTTACATTTATCTATAAATGAGGATATTGAGTTCTAAGGAATAAATGAAATTAATGCATGTTAACATTCTAAGTCCAACACTTAATAAGCACTAACTATTTTTGTTTGTTTTTGATCAATCTCAAGATTATCCTTGTGTTTCACATCATCATTTTCTCTTAATGTGGTAGCAACACTACCTACTTTGACAACTACCTACTTTCTTATATAATGTTTCCCACCTATCTTTCTGCCTCTTCTTGATCTCAAGATGATCATTACCTTCAGATTAAAATCTGAATGAAATTATACTTACTAAAGAACAGCATTTTCTTTTTTAGTTGCTAGCATGTTAGTTGGTTAATGGTTCTGTATTATTCTGCCCTTCTTGTTTAATATATAATCCTAATTCCCTTAGTTCTGTCAATAGCTCGTGTGCATTTCACCTCACATTGCTGTGTTTTTCAATGCTCTGACATTAACATCTTTTAATAGCATCCATCTCATATGAATCCTAAGACAATTTTCTCAGGGCTATGGATTTTTATGTATTTTTGAAATTTACATGTTTTGTGATTTCTGTCTTTGCCTTTTAAAATTTAAATTTTTGTGCTTTGGTGCTCTTCACTCAAGGGCTACAGGGGAAGAATTGAAAGTAAAGGCATACCTACCAACAGGCAAACAATTTTTGGTCACCAAAAATGGTAAGAATTGTGTTTTATATTTTGTAAATTTTACAGTTATATTTGAAAACAAAAAAGCCTTAGCACTTATTGATCTTAATTTGAGCTGAAAACTGTGTACAGCTTCTCTCAGACAAATTTACATACTTTAATACATTTTCTGTTGCTAGAGCCCCTGTTTGGACTCTTACTTTTAACCTCAAAGGTCTAGTTTTAAATTACAGGGGAAAATAATCTTAAGTAGAATTAGACTTTCGGTGCTTGATTTTAATCTTCTTTAAATATAAATTTTCATGGGAAATGGATACTACTACTTTTGAAATATAAAAGTTGAAACCAAAGGATTTATTAAGCATTGTATTAGTGAAAGATTACTAATAGGTACAAAATATGTTTTAAAACTGATTATCTTATTTAGGAAGTTAATTTGAAAATACCACCAAAAGGTAGTTCTAGTCCCTGTGTTATCACATAAAAGTACATTGATTTTTATTCTCATTTACCCTTTATAGGAAAGAGAAACTAGATGCCAAACATCAGGTTTTTTTCCCTTCCTATAGTGTATTTTTTCATTGGTATTGATCATTTATATAGTTAAACTGTGTGTATAATAATATCTGTTAATGGATACATTTACTATATGAAAAATTTGGTAACAATGTTACATAAAAGATAATTTAGCATTTTAGTGAATTACTAGTTTATCCATTGAGAATAAATGCCACTTACATATAAATTCACTCATATGGCAAGTTACTTCAGTAATTCAAGCTAAAGACCAATTCTACCTTCACTGAGAATGACAGGTGGTATCTCCATGTTCTGAAAGTAAATCATTAAGCCTATACCTTAACCTAACGTTGAAAGTTATCTCTGGTTTCAGCCTACTGTTCTTCATAGGTCATCAGAGTAAAGAATACTTAAAAATAAAAACAACTGCCAGTAAAGCCTTTCTACTTATCTTCTGACAAAGTTATTTGGGAAAGATAAATGTAATCAGGTATATGCCTATAGGCTGGATGTAGTTCTTTAATCAGTCTATTTCATTAGAAGTAAAATGTAATACTCACTTAATATTTGGTGGTAGAAATACTATATTTTATGTAATAAATGGCTTTCAAATTGATCTATAGGAAGTAGATTATGTGCTACTAACTATATTTGTCTTTTTTTAAAAAATAGTACCATGCTATAAACGGTGCAAACAAATGGAATATTCAGATGAATTGGAAGCTATCATTGAAGAAGATGATGGTGACGGGGGATGGGTAGATACTTATCATAACACAGGTAAGAGGTAAATATATGTAGAGAGAAAACACAATTTTGTCCCAGTAGACTTTTACTTGAAAAGTAAGAGAAAATTGGAAAAGAAGAAAAAATTTCCTTGGAATACCCCAGTTCTTAAAGTACTGTTAATTTAGTAACAATTTCAGAATATCTGTTTTTTGTTTTTTTTTGTCTTGAAGAATAAAAGAAAGCCAATAAGAAATTCTAAGAGTGAACAATACTTTGTTTTAGAATCCCTTATTTACATATTCCATTGCTCGATAATGAACTGAAGGGTAGACCCATACCATCCTCATATTTATGTTACTTAGCTGGCATTTAAGATTCTTTAATATTTATTTGCTGAATGACTATTAAGTGGTTCAATGAAGGTAGATTCATTGTTAAATCATGAAGGTAGAGATTCATTGTTAAATCCCCAGCATCTATCACAGTATCTATAGAAATTATTTAATAAATTTTTGTTAAAAGAATCGACTAAGGCTTTCATAAGTGTATGTTTGCTGAATTCTTTGGAGTTCTGATTATCATTTTTATTCCAAGTCCTGAAAGCTTATTTGCCACAGTTTTTATGTTAACTGTGTATATGAATATTGCTATGTTTTGTATAATTTATTACCAGTTTTTAGCTTTGAAGAAAATGTGTTCTGATTTTAAATCTGGGATACTTACAAGTTTTTCTTAAGCCCTAGAGAATAGCAGATATGTCAAAATAGTGTAGAGCAGGACTTCTCAACCTTAGTACTACTACTATTTGGACTGAATTATTCTTTGTGATAGCATTCAATGCATTTGTACTTTGAAGAATGACTAACAGTATCTTTTGGTTCTAGCCATGGTAACATTCTCCCAGTTATAACACCAAAAATGCCTCCCAACATTCCCATATATTCTGCGAGGCACAGAATTACTGCCCTCAGCCAAACCCACCCTAATAGGCAGAAGACTGAGTAATCTGCATGGGAAAAAGTGCCTAGTTAGAACAGTTTCTCCTCTGTTTTAAAAAAAAAGAAAAAAAAAAAAAGGCATTGCCATCTATTTCCTTATAGTAATATAGGTGCACTTCTTGATTTGAGACTCTTGTTTCTTAGTGAGCTTCGTGTTAAGTCAAAACCCACAGAAAATAGCAAATAGAACAATTTTTTAAAATTCAAAAATACTCCATGAATCTTTTCCTCTATTGAGTAGTATTACTAAACTTTGGTGTCTTGTTCTCTCTCCCCCCCCACCCTCCCATCATTCCAAGATCTTGAAACTGCTCTGGTTAGTTTTCCCATGACTGCAAGATATGGGCAACAAATCTGTAGGCAAGTGTCTATTAACTGACTAAAGTCATAGATCATAGCATTGTTTTCCTGTTGCCAAGTTAGTTACTTGTTATAATCCCAAATCCAGGTGGATGTTTACACATGTCTTCATCACAGTGCAGGTTGACAAAATCTATTAGAGAAATCCAGCAACTAAAATACTCCATTGATTGGGAACAACACATCCCTTTCATATGTAGAAACATAAAATTATATTGTGGTTACTTTGATATACATAGTAAATTTTAACTAATATGTGAGAGATACCTCTAGAATTTTAGATTTAAACTATATCCTGATTTCATTAAAGCATTTCTTCAAATTGCTGATTCACAAGGCTGAGTGCCTGGTTCCTTTGCGTCATTCTTCTTTTCTTTCAGATTTCTTTCAATTCTGTTGCTCCTATTAGTTATGGTTCTTTAGAAAAACAAATCAGTAGAACATGTGTGTCTGTACCTAAATAGATGTGTAGGTATTGGTTAGAAATGGGTTTAACTTAAGGAATTGATACATAAAAGTGGAAGCTAGCAATTCTGAAATCTATAGGGTGGGCTAGCCAACAGGTCAAAGAGCTAGAGAAGGACTGATTCTTTATTTCAAGTTTAAAGGCAGTTTGGAGACAGAAATCCTTTCTCTTCAGGAGCTATCTCAGCTCCGTGTCATCCTCTTAAGTTTTTCAGCTGTTTATGAGGCTTGTCCACATGTAGAGTAGTCTAATTTACTCCAAATCTACTGATTTAAATGTTAATACAGCAAGATCTACATGTTGTTTGATCAAGCCTAGCTAAGAAGACATAAAACAACCATCACAACCCTTGGGACCCAGTCATTTGAGCTTTCTTTTTCTTCATCAGTATCTTACTTTTAGAGGAGTCTGGTTTAATGCAATAATAGAATTACTTGCATAATTATATTTTAACAGACTGATAAAATCTGTTTTCTTTGTTCCTGTGTACTAGATTCAATCAATTGTTTTGTAATACAAGTTCAATATAGTTACTTGAATTTTACTGTTATGAAATAGTCATATCTACAATATAGTAGTTTCTAGAAAAACTAAAATAAAAGCTTCATGGTAGAGCTGTACTATGCTTCCCATTTGCAAAGTGAGTCATCTTTGATTTGGATAAGTGAACAGATGGATCAATTTCATATTAACAAAGGAGCAAAGCATATTTTATACTTAGGGATTATTTTAAGTATTTCTCATCATTGTTGAGCTATCTGATGGAGAACACTCACATATTTTGAATTAGAAATATTATTTAGCTAGTTTGTGGTGATGCCATCTCCTTAATATCACTTTCATTAAGGTAGTTGTTAAGTGAAGTGCAGTGAACAAAGCATTGAGCATTGTCAGCACATGTAGACGTGAATCCCATTTTCTTCACTTTCAGTCTCAAACTTAGTTATTTTACTTCTCTAAAGATAAATTATTACCCTACCTCATAAGATAGTATTTATGAGGATGAAGTAAGATGTGGAGACTATAAAACAGAAAGTCCTAAATAGATGTAGTGTGGTATTATTACCTTTGGATGTCTTGGATTTCTGAAACAAATAGCATATTAAAATAATACCTTGTTGCAAAATATGATGCAAGTTTAAATAAAATGTAAATATGCATCTTAGAGTTTGTTAATCATTCATTTTCTAAGACAGCATCTGTATTTTGATGAGACTCATCCAAGGAAAATAAATGAGCAGTAATCATTGAGGAATGATAGATTAGCATACTTTATGATAAAATAGTAATTGGTATGTTTTGGTTTATTTTTTATTTTGAACATTACCTTTGGAATTGTTCATTCCTATGAGAGTTCATTCGAAAAAATGCTGCTAATTAACAATGATTCCTCATTTCAGAGAATTTAGATATTTTATGTTTTTATATTTCTTGAATCAGGTAAATGGGGGATATTCACAGCTTTTATTTTCTGCTTCATTTTAAACAGGTGTTGCAGGAATAACTGATGCAGTTAAGGACATTACACTAGAGAGCAAGGTACTGGCCAATGTAATTTATATATTTATAAATATGTCCCTTTCTTCTCCTTTAAACTATGTGTGCAACTTAACATAAATCTAAGCTGATTTTCTAATACTAGTGAATTTTCTGGGAAATATTGTTTTATATTTTTCAGTTACAGCACTTAGCATGTCATTTTTATGATACCACCTTGCAGGTTTGTCATCTCCACTCAAATAGGAGTTTCTTGAGGATAAGAACTGTCATATTCTTATTTCACTGTGGTTAGTCTGTTGGTACATGGGTGTTCAGTATTTAATTACATTTAAATAACTTTAAATGTAATTAATTTCAAAGGACAGTATAAAACTCCAAGATTGCTCCACATTATGTGAGGAGGAGGAAGAGGAAGAGGAAGGAGAAGCTGCAGATATGGAAGGTATTTCTGTTATAAATTTGTTTTAAACACACTTGAATATTGACTTTGGAATATTTATAATTCATTTGGATTAAAAATTCTACTCCATTGAGTTGTAGTTCTTAACATTTAATAGCCCAGAGAGATTTTTGTTTAGTTATGATTTAAATTTGATTGTGCAGGCCTGATCTTGAAATACATCCACTTCACCCAGAGGATAGCCTTGACACTTACTGGATTAATGTTTGTCTTAAATCTTTAATGTTGGATGTAAGCTATAAGATACAGATTCTTAAGCTAACTTTTAAAAAGAGCCTCAAAGCAGAATAAAGTTTTGTTAATCTCTTGGAATTTCAGTGAGAGTATTGTCCTTATTTCTATAGTAAACTTGCATTTTTAAAACAAATCTAAATGAGTTGTTTGAAACCAGAATGTTCACAACAACCTCATATACCATCTCTGTGCTTAAAGACTTCATGTTTAAACCTCCAATTCAGAACTCTTGAACTCTTTATCTACTTGTTTAGTTTCATTTCCTCCTTGACAACTTGTAAGATGCCAGAATTATCTTCTTGAACAAATGCTTTCTGGAATGTTTTTTACAGTTGTCTAAGCTAGGGTAGTAGGTAGAAAGAATCGAATTAGTAAAACTGTTTTTTGAGTATATGACCGCCTTTTAGTATATTTGATAGCATTTCCCTTGGATAAGGTTAAAGAAAAAATTCTCTTAGAATTAAAGAAAGCATAATTTTTATTTATTATTTTACAAAATATCTATTAAGGGGACCCTCCCTGGTGGCGCAGTGGGTTAAAGCACAGCACAAAGAAGCTTAAGCCATTTCCGCATAAATTCAATCCCCGCCTGCCCCGGAGGAGATCCACCTGGCACGGCAGACCTCTCCTGACCCGCCCGCTGCTCCCCTCAGCAGTGTACTTCGTCGATCTGCCTGTTCTGAGCCCCACTCTGTCTCTGGTGAATTCTCTCACTCTCCGCGTCTCTGGCCTGTACCCCAGTTCTGTACGAATAAATAAATAAAATAAAAAAAAATATCTATTAAGGAATATAGTATGTATCAGATACTGATTTTGGGGCTAGAGATAAAGCAGTAGACATGACCTCATTCAGCTTTTATTAGGGGAATTAAATAGAATACAATACATGAGCAAAATATTTACTGTATTAGATGGTTATAAGTAGTAGGGAGAAAAACAAAGGTGGGAAAACAGAGGGATCTTGGGCAGGGTCGATGTTGTCACTTTTAAATGGGTTAATCCAGAAAAAGCTCATTTTAAACCTGCATTTTGAGTAGGGCCTAGAAAGAAAGAGGTAGCAAACCACTTGGATATATGAGAAAGGATGTAAAGACTGTGAGGTGTTTTATATAAATTACTGCAAGGGGGCTCCTGTGTCCAGAGAGGAATGAGGGGAAAGTAATAAGATGTGGAGAGAAAGAGGTAAGGTTATCAGAGAGACAACCTGAGGAGCAGATCATGTAAGGTCCTGACTTCAACTCAGAGATAAGATGCCATTAGTGCTTGTAGGTAGAGGAGTGACATAGAATGAGATTTAATTTATTGTAATTGGCAGCATCGTTGAGAAAAGACTGAAAGGGGGTGAAGTACAGCAATTAGGAGACTATTTTGATAATGTAGGCCAGAAATGATGATGCCATAAGTTCAAATGATTAACACTGGAAGTGATATGAAGCATTAGCTGTCTGTATATACTTTGAGGGTAATGCCAAAAGGATTTGCTGTTAGTTTGGATATGGCAGAGAAGTCACATGTGATTCCAAGCTTTTGATCTGGAAAGGTGCTGTTAGCGATAATTATAGGACTGAGTAGGGGCATCAGGAGCTTTGTTTTGGATACTTTGTTTGTAATTTCCATTAGTGGTTTGTTGGATCCATAAGTAAATAATTAGATGTCCAAGCCTGTAGTCAGGGAGTGTATTATGGAAGCCATTAGCATGTAAATCCACTGAGATGAAATTAAGGAAGTGAGTATGGTTAGGGAGGAGACAAGATTCAAAAACTCAGCCTTCGGCTGCCAAGTTAAGGGGGGAAATCATTGATGTGTTGAAGAGGAACCAGAATAGGAGACAGTTAAGAAGAAACTAGATGTGGAAGGAAAATGAAAAGTATCTTAAAAGCTGAAGAATGAAATTGTTCAAAGGAAGAGGAAATAGATGCTAGCGTGTCAGATATCCCTAAGAGGTCAATTAAGATAAAAAGTGGCTATTTGCTGGCCCTCCCTGGTAGTGCAGCAGGTTAAAGCACTGCACTGAGAAGCTAAAGCCACTTCCGCATGAGTTCGATTCCCGCCTGCCCCGGAGGTGACCGCATGGCATGGCAGACCGCTCCTGACCTGCCCACTGCTCCCCTCAGCAGTGTACTTCGTAGATCTGCCGTTCTGCTCCCCACTCTGTCTCTGGTGAAGCCTCTCACTGCCCTGAGACTCTGGCCTATATCCCAGTTCTGTATGTACAAATAAATAAATCTTAAAAAAAAAAAAAAAGTGGCTATTTGACACTAGATTCAGCAAAGTGGAAGTGATAACATTAATAATAAACACATTTTATACAGTCACATAAATATCCTACATGTATACATGATAGAGTCACCGATATTGTTCCAACTTGTATTACTAATAGATTGTGGTACACAACAGGCCCATGACTTGCTGACTGTCTCTGGTTCTATCAGGTACAGCATCTACTATTTTGAAAGTATAGAATCAGCTCACTCATATCTGTTGTCTTATCTTCATTAAAAAGCCAGGCAAAAACCACTTTTTGAGTGATATCATCAAGTAATATATAATTTGGTTTGGAAAATTATCTTGAATTTGATCTTCTTCTGTTGCTTTTTCTAACAGAATATGAAGAAAGTGGACTATTGGAAACAGATGAGGTTTGTCGATTGAATTTTCCTTTTAATGAATAAATTTAGGGATTAGTGTTCTTATTAATAATGTCTTGATCTTGCACATAAATTTTTATTTGTGGGTTTCCAAATTGTTATTTGTGGGATTATAGTACATAACATTTTAGCTTTGAGATTTAAGTTTTGGTTTTTGAAAAAAGAATAAAATACAGGGTAGGAAAAATCGATGTTCTAAAATGTCACATTTATATTGATTTTAATGGTTGTAAACTTTTCTCCATTTTTTTCAGGCTACCCTTGACACAAGGAAGATAGTAGAATCTTGTAAAGCTAAAACTGATGCTGGAGGTGAAGATGCTATTTTGCAAACCAGAACTTACGACCTTTACATCACTTACGATAAATATTACCAGACACCACGACTTTGGTTGTTTGGCTATGATGAGGTAAAGATAAAGAAAAATATGTTTTAAATAAATACTTTAAATTATTGGCTTGACTACTTTTCTTTATTAACTCCATGGGTAACTATTGTAGTCTTGATTTTTAGGCATCATATATTTTACAATTTAACGATTCTTACAATTTAATTGATTCTTATTTGGAAGCGGCTGTGAATTATTCAATATAACCATACTAAAAATTAAGCAGAAATAATTTTACATATATTTACTCCTTGGCCTCTGAACTTACCCCTTCAGAATGAAAAGGAAATTGAACTTGATTTGATGTGTTAGATTTTGTTCAGCATTATACTTATTGGAGGTCACAAAGTTTTTAGTGTGTAGACTTTTTTCTCCCTTCTCTTTCTAGAATAAAAGAATTCTCAAATTTCTCAACAATATGGTAATCCTAAATAAGCTGGAATTCTAAATTGCAAGTGACTGTGAGGATAAATTCAACCTTTGAAGTTTAGACCAAAAATTTGTAAATAGTCATTTCATAGCATCTTTTAATGGTTTCAGCAACGGCAGCCTTTAACAGTTGAGCACATGTATGAAGACATCAGTCAGGATCATGTGAAGAAAACAGTGACCATTGAAAACCATCCTCATCTCCCACCACCTCCTATGTGTTCAGTTCACCCATGCAGGTCTGTGAGTATGTCCATATATATTCTCCATGGACCTATTACTTGGGAATCTATTAATATGCCACCCTAAAGACAAATTTTAATAATAAGCAAATAAAATTCTCTTTTGTCTTCCTTAGACGTGTACTTGTGCTTAAATAAATGGTGGAAATAACCTAATTAAAAGTATTCTGTATGTGTGTTTAGTTATAGTCTCTCTGATTTTGCTTCCACTTTTAGTTCTAACATTAGTTTGGAAGATCCTTCTTAGATTAAAAAGTAGCCATCATTTAGACATGGTTTGCTCTGTTAGTTTACCTTTTTTTGAATGAATGTAATTAACTTTGTGCTTTTCCTGGAATACCCTATATTTCCCCTCTAACTGGTTAGGGGAAGATGGATGTATAGAGTTTCAAGTCTTTTTTATTAATACTGCACAATCAAATCAAGGACATTTTATAATTTTGGATTTTCTTTGTAGTGGTTTTTATTTTCACAGAGCCAAGTAAGTCAGTCTCTTTTATAGGCATGTCTTACTCAGAATCTTCCTTGAAAAAAGAAAATATTACGTGTAATTTCTTAGGCTTAGTTATTGCTAATGGGTAACTTTTACAAGTCACTGAATAGCTGATAATATTTTTCTGGTGAAAACTGATACCCATTGACTAAAATGCAACATTCTAGTTTTTAAGTAGATTCATTAACAGTTTTTTGTCTTTTGTGGTCTCTTTATTATATAACTTTATCCCATAGAAAACTTATTTCATTTTTCCAGCTTATGTCAAGAACTGTCAATATTGCTGCCTGAACAGTAATTCAGGACCCATTAGTTTTAGATTTTGAATTAACTGATCTAAAAGGTTTTAATTTAAGAATTTTTATGTTCCTTTTCTGGTTAGATGTTTCAGGATGTTGGTGCTTACCAAATGTCTCTCCAAGGTAGAAATTTTGCTCACTCAGAGAAAAGACATAAATAATTTAACTGGTAATGTTAAATATTTAATAACCTTATGCAAAGACAGAAAAACTGGAGGCCTATAAACTAAGATCTCAGGGATATTTTAGACCTTGTCATGAACCATACCACACCCAGATTATACATAACTTCAGTTCCTTGGTACGAATACAATTACTGTATCTGCCTCTGTCACAGGCTTTATTTTTAACAATTAAAAGAACCTATTTAAGGTATTTATGAAAAATTGTGCATTTCTTTGTATATTACCATATTCTCAGTTTATATGCCCAGGCAATTATTTTGATATCATTCTTTTCCATAGCAAAGGAGAAACTCAGTTGTCTATGAGAAAGAGATTTGTGGATCAGACACAAATTCCAGTTTTTTTTAATAAAAAGCCAAAAATAATTCTAAATAAATTTAAATTTTATAGTAAAATTAGGACAAGGAAAAAATTATGTGATCTTGCTGATCAATTAGCTCATTTAAAATCCAGTTTTTGATTATTCTCTGCTAAATATTTAAGCATTCAGCATCACAGCATTATAAATTTTATGAATTATAAAAACTGTTTTTTGACCAGCTAATATCATGGAGTTTTTAAAAGTGCCACAAAACAAAATGCTGCTTTTCTTACTTTGATCTAATTTATCTATACTACTCTAATATTTGTTCTTTTACTTTTAGGCATGCTGAGGTGATGAAAAAAATCATTGAGACTGTTGCAGAAGGAGGAGGAGAGCTTGGTGTTCATATGTATCCTTTCCTGTATTGACAGATTGACTCCTAGGATCACTTTAGTAGGGTAGAGCATGGGAGTTTAGTACAGTCTTACTGGCACAGTAACTATATCTTATTTTTACCTCCTCATATCTGAAAATCTTCGTGGAAGCTTTAAACTAATGTGGGAACATTAGAAAGTAATACTTTGCTTGGTTCAGTTGATCAGCACCTATACCTGTATATACCAGGTAGTCCTATCTTGTTCCAGAGCCACAGCTTGCCAGATGTTTTTGTTTGTTGCAGAGGCACTGGGTAAGTGTGTGAGTATCAGACCATTAACTCTCAGTGAATTTAATGTGTTGATGAAAGATGAGTAATCTGCCAGTTTAGAGGATAACCCAATGGGAATTTTTTCTTTAAGTATAGTTCCAGTTAAGCATGATTACTGAAATGTACTTTCCCATCAAGTAAGAGAAAAGTTAGGTCGTGTCATTTTGAGGTCTCTGAAACAAAGAATTTAACAAATGGGTTAACTTACAAAGTAAAGCACATGAATTGTTTTTCAGATATTCTTGAAAAACAATATTTTTATTTTACTCCAGATAAGAGCACATACTTATATTTTCTTTCGGTTTTCCTACTCATTTCTCTGGGGTAGACAAGACATAAATTAGATTAACTTGCTGTATCTTGATGCACAGAGGCATCAAAAGGACCCTTAGTCAACGAGGTAGGTGACAATACCTTGAATTATTTTGGTGGTACATAATACTAAACTTCTTAGTTTATGTCATTCAGTGTCAGATGTAAACTGAAGGGTCACCACTGTCTTGGAACCGTAGATTACCAAAGAATTGCTAATAAAGTGGTCCCTGACAGGAACTTTGGACTGCTTTAATAAGGAAACAAACAAGAACTTTCAATCCAAACAGATTTTTCTGCTGAAATCCTATTAAGTGTAATTTAAATGTTCATATTAGAAACTATGTAGCAATTTGGAAAATTTTTACATTTATAGTTCATATTGAGTCATCCACTTACCCAATAAATGTGAAGCTCAGTGTTTCCAAGTGCAATGAACATAGAAAGAAAATCAAGATTTCTGTATAGACAGTCTACTGTAGTACTAGATGGCATACACATATAACCCAGACTCAGTCCTTTAGGAGGGTTTGCACATATGATTTCTTTTTTCTTTAGTACTTTATGCTGCCTCATTTCCTAACTTACTGTAGCAACCCTAGAAGCAGTAAAAGGACTATTTGCCAGTCATTTAAACATGAACACCTGTGCCTGTTTTTATGTAAAAATAATTGGACTTATATGAGTTCTATACTCAAATAGTAAATCATCAAGGAGCCTCATCTTGAATAAAAATTGCACGAGTGATTTTATTTCATATATTTGGTTTAAAATTTTGTTTTATATTTTTTCTTGAGAATTTATTTCTGAAAAAATGAATACTTAGAAATGTTAGCTAAGTCATAAAACTGTTCTGCTTATTTATTTGCCTTAACTGAAGACCTCTAGGTATCTTTTAATTTTCTTGAAATTTGTACAAGCTGTCATTCCAACAATAGAATATGACTACACAAGACATTTCACAATGTAATGAAGAGCATAGAATCTATTCTAAATATTGGTTCTGATTTTTGAAGACCCATAGACGTGATGATTGACCATATTCACCAATATGTACAATTCCTCTAATAAAAGGACTTATATGCTTCTGCATTAAATAAACAAAGTTCCACTATCAGCCTTGTTTAATAAAAATAAGTGTGAAGTGACTGTTCTTCTTGCTTATCAAAAAGCGACATTATTTTTCCTAAATAACTCCTAAAGAAGTATCTCATATAGAATGTTATTTTAGATGATACTTATGAAGAAGATATTAAATCTGATGGTGTGAGAATGACAGATACTTCATGCTAGACTTACCTTCCCTATACCTCTTTGCTCCTTTTATTTTCCCTTTCACCTCAAGTCTACTATCTGCTAGTAATTGTGAAGCACTTACAGTGACAGGAAATATGCTACTGATATATATTAGTTGTTTCCTGATGGTTTTATTAAGTTGATACCAACAGCATTATTTTTCTTAATGTTTAGGGAATATCTCCCAGATTGTGATTGCCTGATAGACTAAAAGGATCCCTTTGTTGTATCACCTCTCTATCGATTCATAGGTCTGAGAGTAGGAATTCAGAGAGGCTAAGAGTGTTCTACACTGGGAATCACAAAGGCAAGGAGTAGAGCATAGGCTCTTTGACTCATTCTCTCCATACCCAGTTCCTATTGCTTTTTTCCATCCTGTATATATAATGGAGTAATTAACCCTGCCTCTAAAAAGCTTAGTTTTTTATGGTTTTCCCCCTCATTCAAGAATACTCTCTTCCAATGCCCCTTTATTTTCACCCCTTCTCCAATTGTAGCCCAGTTCCTTTTAAGATGGTGTTTGAGACAGTATAATATGGAGATAGAAAAATGGACTTCATCTAATACACCTCAGATATCCTTGCTTATGAAGCCAACAAGTGACTGCCTTAATTTTTAAATCTTTTTTTATCTATCTGATAATCATTATGATTCACAATATCAGTATGGATATTACTACGGTGTCAATACTTCCCCCCCAGTTAAGTCATTTTATCAGTAATCTGTCAACAGTTTTCTCAGTCACCACTAGGTGGCATAAATACTTTTGTGCTGCCTTTTTTCAGATTTTTTTTTTCCAGTGAAACCTTTATAGGGAGCCCTAATATAAAACAAAAGTGGGTATAATGTGTTTTTATGAGTTGAAAGTCTTAGTCTTTGCATTCATTTATTTTTAATTGTAGTTTTATAGTATTTTTAAACATCTAACTTTTTTTAAAGATTTATTTATTTTTACAGGACTGGGGTACACACCAGAGGTATGGTGGGTGAGAGGATTCACCGGAGACAGAGTAGGGAGCAGAACAGGCAGACTGACAAAAAATCCACTGCTGAGGGGAGCAGTGGGCTGGTCAGGAGAGGTCTGCCATGCCATGTG